TTTTGACATGCCAATAAATTTTATTATTTATTGATGCCTTTTACTTGGATCAATTTTACAGTGATGAAAGTCACACACTTTTATTCGGGAATAACACTTCCGTCTTGAAATTAATGCTAAGCTGACTCATGCTGAAAGGTTGGGATGCATCATAATTTGATCAACTTTCACATCTGCTTAGAAAAGCATTGTAAAACACTCACCTGGTGTCGCTCTATTGAGAAACTCCAATTCTGAAATCCAGGCATAAGTAATATCGATGGTCACCTTTCTTGGCTGAGTACGCACCAATGGGCATACAATCCGTAACCTCTGAAGTCTCGTGGATTCTCATTACAAAATTGTATTATAAGTATACAATTTAACCAAGAATTGGTTCTTAGTAAACGACTTGGGGAGAAGGGACGATTGTGTTACAACCAACAGAAGCTTTCAATGGCCTGTTTAGATAGGAATTAGATAACGGAGTTGACTGGTCACCTGGTCAACCACGGTGAACGAAGTCTATTTACAGGCTATCAGACCCGATAAAGGTCACTATGGTGAAATATTGCAAAGTTCAACCGTTGCCAAAAAGCGCATTTGGTAAAATGTGGAACACGTGCATTGTTATACGTATCGACAGGTGATATACAAGCAAAATAGTAAATAATCAAGAACTGAGAAAGAACTTGTATCGGTGTACTACACTTAATAAGCCTTGACTCACGCTCAATTACCTCCCTCCCATGATTCTCTCAACGATAATGAGGGGAAATAGACGCGCGTTTGTCTGGCCTGTGTCACTGACACGGAGTTTAGCCATTAGAATAAAATTTTGGCCACTCTGACCATGCTGTGACTATTGATTGTTGATTGGGTGAGAGGTCACCCCACTCAGGAGTGCACATACTCCCCAGCGCGATCAGCAGCATACCCGCACTTTATGGCCACGAGATCAGTAGCACGCCGCTCTTTCCATCATGTCCTTGCGCATATGAGATTTTACTGTTCAGCCATGCAAGTCTTATGTTCCCCACAAATTAAGGTACAAATTTCTAGTCACACCACTGTTAGCAGCATATTCAAACTAAAATGAGTAAATAGGTTACCTATAAGTTGTAATTTCCGACAATTGACCAAACACTAATTGCTACTGACATTGTCATGCTGTTTGAGAATGGGAAGATTTCCATATTATCCCATTCTGGGATAACTTGCCAGTGAGTGTTAAAATATGGTGATGCCCCGGTTCGCTCGTCCTCTTCTTCTTATTATTATTAATATTATTATTATGCGGGTTGGACGATTAGCAATTGCATCTTCTTGTCGAAGTTCGATTTTAATTTCTGCATGCGAATCATTTATTTATTTATAACAAATTACAGGCGTTTCGATAGTTATCATTAGCCCTTTAGTTGACTTCGGGCTTCACAGAGGGGAGGAAGAACAACAAAATGAGAAGAATTCGGGGGGGGGGGGAGAACAGAAGAGTGATTCACAGATGTAAAAGAAATAGACAGACACAAAGGCTCAGAAAGGGTAAGGTGGGTACTGTGACTTGGTAGAAGATGACATACAGTGGAGTGATTGTAGTTTGAAGTCAGAAGTCAACTGCCGGTTTATAGGCTTTTTTTGCGTATGATTATATGTTGCCCAGGGTGCACCAAGAGGAGGTAAGTCTATCCCACACCCCTCACGCGGATCATCACTTATGGTTCAAGGTTACTTAAAGTTGCTTTTTTTTCTACGTGCAGATATAAACTGCGTTGCGAACTTTCAATCAACTGCAACGGATTTACTGTCTATCTAACTTCTCCCCATTTATTTTCCAATTCGGGTTTATCCACCTACCTATCTACCTACCTACCTATCTTTCTATCAACATATTACGTATTTCCTAAAGATTTATTTCCAGGAAACTTGAATTTATTTGAGATGATCGGGAAATATGAAATTCTTTACTTTATGTTATTTTTTCCCTTCACACTTGAAAATCTGTGCGTTTATATAAACTAAAAGCACAGAGAAAGTAAATAAAACTCCTCGTAATTATGTTTTAAGATCATGAAAGTGAACAAATACAGAGACCTTAAAAGTTGTCATTTGTTTATATAATGTAAACATTTATTATTTTTATTTTACTATTTGTTTGAGTGAGTTTATCTTATTAAAAATAGGTCCCAAAAATTAAACAATTTTCTTTAAAGAGGTCTCCGTGATAAACGTCGTACGGATGATGCAATGTTTGGTTTGAGATTAAATATGTAGTTATTTCATTACTTATGATTAGTTTCAATTCTCAAATAGGTAAAAGTGCGTCAACAGAAACTATTATTATTTTTTGACATTCTTCCTTTCAACGGAAAGCAGTGAGGCCTACCTTGGGAACTCGACTTTCCAGAGTTTGTAACCTTACTATGGGAAGGAAGAAGTTAGTTGAATTTAAAACAGAAATGAGGCATTTCTTACATTTCCTTATTTTGTAGTCATTGAGATTACATTTTAATGTTCTTATACGTATTTTGGGCAGTTTGGATAGCCATGCTCGAATTCTTTACCTGAATTGATTCTGCTAGTTTCCCTACGGTCATATTATACATGAGCCAAGAGCCAATTAGATTATTTTCCCTCAGGGATATACCCCTTCTTCCTCACGTCAGAATAAATCAAAACTCCCCCCCCCCCCAATCCATAGCAATGCTAGTAACTAGGACATACATTGGAGTTAAAAAGGAATCTTGAGACGCTAATTCAAACAAGCAGAACTTCTACACGAAAAATGCAGCTCATTGTTTACCATTTCATAGGTTATTCTTCTATTATTTAAAACAAACATGAATACTTTGATCTCTGAGCGGAAACTCCACAGCCACTTCTCAGATGTTCCCCTTCCCCATTGTTTTGGAAGGGTGGTGTTACTATGACACTAGGAACGATCTTATGAGGTTGATTCACTCTAATTTTATGCTGCTGAAAGCATGTGTAGTACAGGTTATTCTATTAACATAGAAAATAATACAATTTTGATTGGATATTCATTCTTCTAGATGAAATTAAAGCGTCAATTTTCGCAGTCACATGATTAATCGCTACTCGTATGACCTCAGTTTGAGCAAATACGATAATTAGTGGAAAATAACACAATCACACCAACTATCAACTTTGCATTATCTGTTGGATGGGTGGCGCACAAGATTGATTTTATTATTAGTTCGCGTTAATGTCAACGCCGAGTTATCTATTGGTTCTCCCTCTCACTATGACCCTACATGTTGGCGATTTGATAACCTATTATTCGGTGACCTGAATTGCAGTGTATCACGCATTTGCATTGCATTTAATTAGTTTTCACCTAATTTAAGGTGAATGATCCACGCTGATTTTTCCGTTGAATTAACTTTTTAATGATCAAAAATGAACCCCCCCCCCCCCCCCCCCCCCTCCAGCCTTAGTACAAACTCTGGATTATTTCAATGTACCCAATTTAGCAAACGGGGTTGGTTTGGTGTCCAACCTGTTAATTTTCCATTTGAATACTACTCTTCTCTGAGACTCATTACAAATTCACCTTTTCATTTAAAAACTTGAATTTATTAATCTATAAGCTTGCAATCTTCATTAAGCAATTTCACGTTTTGCAAATGTATCCGGACAAATGCGCAAACTTCACATCTTATATAAAACGATGGAGACTGCAAAGGTATGTTTAAAGTAGCTCATTGGCTACCAATGGTAAATGAAATTAGTAATTTCTCTTTTCAAAAATCCTTTACCAGACGCTAAAATTTGCATTTGGTTGCATGAAACCAAATTCAGAGCCAAGTGGCGATACACGCAATCCCATTGATTGCTCGTTAAAACGGTAATTATAAATCCAAAAGCACAACGGTTCAAGTAGGTGTCTCAGTCTTAACTAATCATGAGTCATTACAGGCTATCCAATTGCCATAGCCAATTTCACTACCTCTCTCCCCCCCCCCCCCCAATCCTCCTTTGGGCACGTCTATAAGATTAAGCATCGCGAAATTAAAACCACGCGCTGGTGACAAGACAGTTGCGGATGTTGTGTAAAGCTTTGCTAGATCTACGTTTCCACTAGTTAAATAAATCGGTCACTCATTCGTGTTCCGACTTCCACAACTTTGCTTCGTAAGCGCGTTTCTGAATTTATTCCATAAAATAGGAAAAAACTACGTTAATTGATCCCCGCAGACGTATCCGGTTACTACCTCTGATTCTAACTTTGTGCACGCTACACCATTCCAGGATCTAAGGCTAGCAGCCCAATACGGCGATCCAAGTGGTATGAAGCGTCAATCTCATGTTGCGAACGAATACCCCTCCAACTATACTTCAACGCGAGACAACAGGACTTTGCATGCTCACTCGTATCTCCTCTGAATCTGATAATGGGACTTTTGGAAACCGATGATCGAAGGTGCATTACTGTCACTGCAAGCGAATCGCAGCTCCTTACCTTCTGCTATTTTAAAGAAATACAAAAATTGTGCACATATTAACCATCGTAATCTTATTTAATGTGAAAAAGATATGAAAGGGAATTTAAATACTGGAATCATCAAAGGGGAAAAGTGAGGACGAGAAAGCGACTCATAAAACCAAGTGGGAGAGTAGTAAAGACACACTAGCACAAATATGGAGGGGGGGGGGAGGGGGGGGGCATGATAAGATACATAGTACGAGAGACAAAAACGACTGAATGAGGGATGAGCGGAGGGAGCAAAAAACATCAAAATGCTAGAAGGGAGGGAGAAAGGCTAACATCCGACTGTTCTGGTGAATGTTAGTCATTGTCAATGTTTCGCATTTTGAGGGAAAAATGGGATGGGATGATATAAACGATATGGTGGGTCGCATGGATATGAATTCCGGTGACGATGATGATATAATGTTAATCACAACCGAGTGTACTGAGTTTGGTGATTAATTATTTTAGAGCGCACAACATCGAGGCACGACAGAGTAGTATGGTAATAGTTGCGGCAAGCCAAACTGATCTAACGAGTCTTCTCAACCTCTGCGCAGAGAAAATCCAAACAGCTTGGATCAGCCAGAGTTGAAGTATCTCCAAAATCACGTTCTCCGTTGGCGATCTTGCGCAGAATTCTACGAATTATCTTACCACTACGAGTCTTCGGTAGAGCAGGGCAAGCCTAAATATGGGAAAAATATCGCTTAATTACTTATCAGTAGGGGGCATAATCATAAACAATGATTGAACAAGGACCTGGATGTAATCTGGTGCAGCAAACGGCGCGATTCTGGTTCTGACGAGGTTGACAAGCTCCTTATGCAACTCTGGAGTGATGATCTGAGGATAGCCGTCTTTCAAGGTGACAAAGCAATGTAAACACTCTCCTTTGACCTTGTGGTACCTAGCAACGGCAGCGGCCTCCGCAACGGCTGGATGGGAAACTAGAGCGGATTCCACCTCAGCTGTGCTCAACAAGTGGCCGCTCATGTTCAGCATATCATCCATGCGTCCTGTTAAATGATTGGTAAAAAGAGTTTAAGAAATCAGAAAAGGAACCACCAACTGAGTTAAATGGGAGAAACAGATTGAGCCACTTGAATTGACATTTACAGAAAAATGAATTTCAACGACAGATTGAGAAAACATGGAATTGATAAAATTGTGCAAATATATCAAATACAACCCCCCCCCCATTTAGCTAAAATGAATAAAAACATGAATAGGTAAATAAAAAAATTGCGGATGAAATAAGTACATTGGTTATAAATTTAATAGAAACTAGTTCTGATAAATTATTGGGCTTAAAACTTCAGTTTGGTGAGTTATGAATAGCGTAGTAGTTGTAAACGATCAGACAGATCGTTTAAAAAAATTAAAAAAAGCATAATTAATAAACGACTAAGCGTTTACAAATCCAAAGAGCCCTCAAATAAATGCTGAGGAATTTTTGAACAAATTGCTCAATTTTCCAATCAAGTAGACTAATGAACGATTGTTGCAAGTTGGTTGCAAGATGGTATGGTATGATAAACAGTGCTGCAAAAATTCATTGCAAATAAATAATCCTGGAGATTATCAAAGTTGCGTAAATTTACACTCGAAGAGAATACCACTTTATGCATTTCCTAAGATTTTGAGTTGGTCTCCACACACCCACATACATATACTCCAGGGAACCTCAATTACAATTTAAGTTTATAAATCGAGGGGCATAAATCAAAGTAAAACGAGTAAATTGCGCTGCAAGTTGTAAGGATAACTCCCTGCTTTACCCAAGCAATGCTATTGGGCAGCGGGAATGATTTCAAGGACAGCGTTAAGATATTAAAAGAGATTTATAGATCCAAAGGATACGCTCAAGTTATGTCCTAATTTGAATTGCGGTAGTAATAGGGGGAGTATAACTGATAACAGTGGATAACATTTTATAATCTCGCTTCTGCCTTAACCAATTTTGTTCTATTAGTTAGCCGTTTATTGGCTATTTGTAGATGACCTTTGAGTTGTCAGAGGTCAGGAGTGATCAAGTGTGCGCTCGCAATCAAATACAATTAAAATACGGGAATTAGTAGCGCAGTAACGAAACTATGAATGCATTGAAAACTAATATTTTTACAAGATGAAAAACAAACACTTTTTGAGCACAGATATGAAATAATAGAGATATTTCATAATAATAATTTTCTCAGACACTGAAACATCAAAATTCAGAAAATAGTGCTCCAATGAAAGTAAGAATTAAAAATTCAAACACATTTTTGCTGTCAAAAGAAAAAAGAAATCAATGATAGAAATCAGATAGAATAACTTTTTGGTTTGCAACAATTTCTTCCTTTGCACCAGTCAGCATGAAATCACCGAAGCAAATCTAATTTGATTCAGATGAAAACTGCGAAACTTAATTAGGGGGAAGAGGAGACAGAGAGGGAGGGGGGGGGGNGGGGGATGGGAAGGAAGTAGCAGAAGTAAGTTTGGGATAAAAAAGGGTGAGAACGAATTGAGGATATATCACTGCTTGGTGATGGGAAAGGAGAGATTTAAGTTCAAATATATATAAGCCCCAAGATACCCCCACGTGCTAGTTTGAATTTAGTATTGCACGAAAGCTGTTGACTATTTCTCTCCAATCTAACTACAATCCACAGGCATCCCCACTCCGATTTTATCTCCCCCCCCCCCCCCCCTCCCAAATCAGCAATAACTCAACTCAGGGGAAGAAGAAGCATTCACATCGAAACTCGACTTTGAAAACTTCAAGCATGCAATACAAGGGAGACAGGGAATGCAAAGAGGACATTAATTTTAGCTTTCTGATAAAAAGACAGCGTGGGCAACTTCGAGGAGGAGGAGGATATAAACTTTTATACAAAGTGGCATGCAATCGTATAGAGTTAGGTAATTTTGACGAAAATTTCTACTACTCCTACTACTGCAAGGGATTTAATTACAGACCAGAAAAGACGGCGTTATGATTGTGAGAGAAGTACCTGTTATCCAGAAGTTCTCCTCACTGTCTTTAATGGCTCCATCACCGCTCATAAAATAGCCAGGAAATCTTTGGAAATATACATCTTCATATCTCTTGTGATCTCCATAGATAGTACGAGCAATACCCGGCCATGGGGCTGCGAAAACGAGGTATCCCTCTTCCACAGCCTTATCGCCGGACATCTTCTTTACTGCTGTCACATCGTCAACTCGGTTTTCATTGTCATTGCTGATTATGCGTGCGTCGACACCGAAGAAGGGACGGCCTGCACAACCCGGACGCATAGGAACCGCGCCTGGAAGGGTAGTAATCATGTGACCTCCAGTTTCAGTCTGCCAGAAAGTGTCCACAATGGCGCATCGGCCGTTGCCAACAACTTCGTAGTACCAGGTCCATGCAGATGGATTTATTGGCTCACCAACACTACCGAGGACCTAGTGCGGAGAAATAGAAAAAAAGTACTTTAATTTATTGCATTAGATACTCATAGAGTGTCTGGTGGTATTCAAGACAAGCGGATACAAAGTACATCATGCGATACGGGGGGGGGGGGGGAGGAGATTAGGTTGGGAATTGGTCACATGGGAAAAAGCACTAGAGACAATGAATAAAGCTAAAATTTCCACTTAATTCCCCCAACAATTCACTAAAACTAAGCGACAATTTGATACGTAGTACAAATTGACGTTTCTCTAAGTTGGTTCTTTATCTTGCAGTAATTTTCAGCAAAATGGAAGAATTCAAAGCTTGCAAGAGAAACCAGTCATAATAAATGCGTGTAAGTTTATTGATATCTTATTTTCACTTAAAAGTAACCTATAAATATTTTAATTTAATAGCTCTAAAGTACAAGCTCTAGTATCTCTAACCTGCATTTTCCTGAAACAGCGGTCAATATTTGTGATAAATTCTGGCAAAACCAAGACGGACCATTGATGTTGTGGCCTTGAAGGTTTGAATAAGGGTAGGAAAGGGAAAATAAGTGCTCTATTTACCTCAAAAGAAAGGTTAAAAACAAATGTGCCTCACTTAAGATAAAACTAGAAGCCCAAAATCATTTCCTAAATTTGTTGCTACAATAAAATTGATGACGTTTTATGTGGGAGGATAAATTTTTCGGATCTATAATTAGAGAATAAAGATTTGAGGCAGAGTCGGAATATAGATTCATTACTTCGAGTTGGATTGAAGAACACCGGGCTCCTTAAAAAGGGAGAAAGTGTAGAATTGAAAAGAAGCACACACAAAAAACCGCGCATTGGATGAGGTCAAAAGAGCGAAAACATAAAACTGGTAAAAGCATGTTTCCTTTTAAAATTTCCGAAAGTCTCCTTATCATTAAACAAATAAAGCTAATTTTAAAAAGAACAACAATTTAAAAGGTTCTCTGAAACATAGCGCGAGATTAAAATGGAACCGTAAAACGCTATAAAAACACACTTCTATTAATGAGTGACTGCTCAAACCTCAAAAACAAAAAAATACTACCGCACAATTGTGACTAAAAATTCCAGCCAATAATAATGACCATTCCTGGAACCTAAGTACATACGCAAACACAAGTGCAAGGTGTTTGAGATAAATTTTACGCAATAATATTTGGTTGATTTTTCCAGATATCTTGAAGTTGTGTTCATGCACCCCTACTACGCTTCATTTAAATAGTTAAAAGATTTTCCTCTCCCCTAAAATAGGTGAGGGCAACGAGAAAAAATGATGACTGAAACCCACGTGAATCATCAAAATAGGGGGATTATGATGTCTGGTCAAAGGCCCCCTCAAAACTGTGAAAAGAAAATGACAACGGAGAAAACGAACTGCTATGGGCAAAAGAAATTAACATAATAGACCCCCCCCCCCTTAATCTGATCCGATTGGGTTCCAACACCAGACCTCATCTTATAATTTGCAGCAGCAAACGTGCTGCTTCATCCAGACATAAGAGTTCGGGCTTTGTCATTACAGGTAAGTGAACGTCTATTCGAAGCAAAGTGAAAAACCTCACTGAAACACAAAAATTCGGGTTTTATTGTGATGAAAAATACCTTGACCAAGATGAAAAGCCCCGTAAGGAAAAGTGGAGATAGCTTGGCTTGGCATACAGTTCAAAGGACACTTACAGGGTCATAGAGACCAAATTTGTCAAAAAAGGTCATAGTTACCTACAAGAGTGATTGTGATGGAGTGTGAAGCCTCCCTGTTAGGTGGAATTTAGGTACCAACGTGAAATTTCCGACCACTTAGTAGTTAAGCTCTGGATGACAAGGATAGCCAAAATAGGCCATACCTATTGTGGTAGCAGGATTCGGTCCCTGCAACACCAAAAATTCCAAAAATTGTTGCCAGTCGATTTCTACGACTACACCGGTCCCAATGTTTGTTACCTGGGTCGGATAAAGGCTACAATAGACGATAATAGAGAATTGTTTGAGTAGTATATCGAGTTTGTTTTAAAGTTATTACATTCTATAGCCATTGATTACTATTCTTCTTCCAAATGGGCCTATCAAATCCATCCCGAACCCATTGTATTCCCCCTGAGCTAATTCAAATAGGTTTCTGGTTTTTAAAACAGTAGAAGAAATATTGGCAAGAGATGAATTAAGTTGTTTGATACTTTGTTCAAAACATGGCTGGGCAAACGTGGGTGCGCGTATGGTTTGCCAAAGAAATGGAAATAATTTGCCACAAACGTTGGAATTATTTATTAAACAAACCCACTTATACTACTCATTTCGCGCGCTACACCATTTCAGTAAAATACCTTCGAAAGAAGATAATAATGGTCATTTGGCTATTCGTTATTTCGCTAAAAGAACGCTCTACAAACTATATGATTCAAAGTTTGGGTGCTTTTTTGATAAGTTTGCTCTTTAATAATCAAGTCTGAAAGTAATAGGTAGGTAGACTATTTCAATGGTAGTAATCTCAAAACCAGATAAAAAGTGTTGGCATTTTGCTCAAAGCGAGTGATGGTCAAAGTGACTATTTTCTTCCGTACAACTCAATTTTAAGAACAAGGTGAAAGAAGATAATTCGAAAGCAGCTTCTAAATTTGAAGTAAGATTGACATGAGCTTTCAACAGAATGAAGAATAAGTTATCTCGATTAATTAAAACAAAATCTGTTTACGTAAACAAGCAACTCGATGTCCTCTTCAAGAAGTGAAAAAAATGGCAAAACATACGAGAACCAAAATCACCAGAATTTTTGATAAAAGTAAGACTTCTTCCACTTATTTTAACAGCTTTCCAAAGCTCAGAACAAAAGCGTGTAAAAATTAAATTATGTATAGATATCCGGTGACATCAAGTCACTGAGGTCAACTTGACCTCATCTGAAACGACTCACACGTGCATAGAAAAAAATGCTACTACAGTGAGACGAAAGGAAGTGGCGTAAAAGAAGAAAGTCTCTGACGTATCCGAATGTATAAGAGTCCTCAAATTGATTTGAAAGGGATAATTAACCAGTTTGATAACGATTATTCAATAGAATGGTAGTAAGATTAGAAATTCAAAAGGAGGTATTTTAGATTGCCCTGTAGGCATGCGATCGAATTAATTAACTTATGTGTGTTCGAGATCCCCCCACCCCTCTTCAATGGTGAACATTGACTAATTAAAAAAGGTGATTGAATGATGATAGATATTTACTTTCCTCCTTACCTTAAGACTGGATCTGTCGTACTTCTTAACATATTCATCGCCAGCACCGATGAGCATTCGGATGACGGTGGGGGCTGTGTAGAATTTGGTGACTCGGTATTGCTCTATAATGGACCAGTAGCGACCATAATCGGGCCATGTGGGGAGACCTTCGAACATCACACTCGTCACACCATTTAGAAGAGGACCGTATATTAGGTAGGTATGGCCTGTTTGAAAGGAAAGTAGCATAAGTTAGAGAACGAAAATTTTGAAATACTAGAACTAATGCATCGGTGGTGCATTGGTCGATATGCACTCTGTCATGAGGTCAAAGGTTCCATCCACATCGGCTCACACTCCGTGAGGAGAGAATGGCCAACAGCTCTAATTAAGCCACGCTAATAGTGACGATTATACTAGAATAAAGAAAGCATTTTATCAAAACAAATTTCTATAAAAAAACCCAAAAGGAAGAAACAAATCAAAATAGTGCTACTTTTAATAAATAAAAGGGTAGTTTGGTTTTCATTTTCTGATTTAAAACCCAAATTAATAGCAAATCTATTTTTAGCCTTAAATTAAGTATATATTAAGCAGTCTTCGGATTTGGACTACAGAGGGACTCATTAAATACGCCATGTCCAATATCTATGGCAGTTTAGTTTCTACCCCATATATTAGAGCTGAAATTATCAATAACGCTGATATTAGTAGTCTAACCGATTAAATGAAGACAAATAAGCGCGCTTGCCACTTGGGATTTTATTTATTTTTCCACTTCACTAATCTTCTTGACAAATTGAGAAATTAATTAAGCATGGCCTTGTACTTTCAGTCTATTTGGAATAAGTCTTAGAGTCCCCCAATACTAATGCATGTTAACCTCGTAGAGGAGGAGGAGAATCAGGGCGAAACTGGCTACCCTATCATATGAAGTGGGAGGTATATAATTATAACACAAATTCCTTATATAATGCAACTCCAGGGGGTGAGATCGCTCTCTCTCCCGCGTAGCCTACACATGTCTAATGCCTGTTTGAGAAATATAACGTTAGCTATTAATAACATAAAAAAAATTCGCACATCAGGCGCCCACATATTTAGATAAAGTTACTTCGGAATTTTGCCTTGGAAACTACGAGTAAGAATTGGTGACTTTTGAATCCGATACTCTTTAAGCGCGACACACTTGCCACGTGACGTTCATTTATATACCCCAAAACTACAAGAGTCGAGCACTGTTTTTACATGTAAATGATGTAGATGAGTTTCTAAAGAGTGAATTATCACAAAGCACATTCTTTAACGAAATGACATCATGCGGCTATAATTAAAGCAAAATTTCATACAGAAATTCACAATCACACACTTCCACCAAAACTAATTAAACCTATAAGAAATGAGAGTCAAATTACATTTGATTTAAGTAGTATATGAAAACTACACACCTTCTCACTTCACACATTCTAGCCTATTCGATATTTTACCGATTCTCAAAGAAAAACATCAAAACAGCACGGGCCGCAGGCTAGGATTGAGTAGTTAAACGTTAGAGAATAGAATAATTGCTCCACTATCTAACAGTAATTATAAAGTCACAAATAAACGAAAGTGAATGACATAACGGAAGTATATCAATAGGTGGTCAATATGGCTTGTATATCATGGATAGAATTTTAAACACGAATATGGGAGTCAAACCTTGAAATCCAGACTGTGGAATAATACACAGTAGTTGCACTTTATATGAGAATATGAATGTTTCAATGCTTTCAAAATTAAATCAAAGTAAGACTTCTGATACAGTGACTTCCATACTCACATTCCTAAATCCCCTGTACCCCCCCCCCCCTCTCCTCTTTCCTTAATATCTTCATCGGAGTCGCAAAAAAAAGAAAATGACAAATAGAACGAACCAGTAATCCACCCAATGTCCGCAGTGCACCAGTAGATATCATCGGGATGGAGGTCAAAAACGTATTTGGCGGTTGTAGCAGCATACACCATATAGCCGCCGGTAGTATGGAGAAGACCTTTAGGACGTCCAGTGCTACCGGAGGAGTAGAGGATAAAGAGGCCATCTTCTGCCTCCATCCATTCAACGGGACAATCGGTCTCAACTGCGGGAACAGCCTTATCCCACCAAACGTCGCGGTCGGTTCGCATTCGAACAGTGAAGCTGAAACCGCGAGAAGGTAAACACCAACAGTGAGTTTGGATCATCAGAAAATGAGAACCAAAATCCGAATATCAAGTTGATGTTATTAGATTAGAGCTTCCTTTTAGATCTAGGATTTGCACTGCAGTAAGATACTAATCGTGAATCCCGGGATATTTAAAACCTATAATTCAAGGCATCTTGACTGTTAGCCACAATCCACCCTACGTTAAAAGAAAGACAAGGGGAAATGAAAATGTTTTACTGAGCTGGTATAAAAAACGGCAATACTCTAAATTTACTAGCACTACTGACATAACCACCAGAAAGATGTGTAATCTAAAAGTATTGCATTAAGGTCTACAATATGCTTAGATAAAGAAATTTATTGTCGTATAAATAACCACAGAAGCTGGAGATCAAGCATATAAACATGTCATCAACACCATAAGACAAAGAAATCAAAAAGGTAATAGAATAGCTGTCGAGCACATCAGAGAGATGTTTGCACATTGTCTACTATAGCTAAAACTGTGTTTTATTTTGAGAATTACTGCTATAATTGTCATTGCAAGGAATAAATAAACGCCTGTTTTAATAGAAAGGAGAGATTGTGCTTTTAAAATTAAATTTGATTGAACGTTGGACTTAAAGTAAAATGAGAATTCTATCTCACCCCGTGCTCACCGAGTTGCTTTTCAGCATTTATATTTCTATCCCATGATTTAGAAAATAATCATATGAGACCGAAAGCGAATATTGCATTATATTTGTTAACGAAGTTGACGACAAAAAAGCAGATGCTCCAAATAAATAAAAACACTGTGGTTAAAGGAATATAAAAATAGTGAGGCGAAAGAAAAGAGGTAGAAAAAGAAAATCATCAAAAGTTCAGCTACTCGCAGTTGCAAATATTAACACAAGGGAAATACGAATGAGACCTGATTGCGATCGTGCACACACACAAGAGATATAAGAAAATGACACATTTTAATTTGATGAACGATAAGTATAAAAATATTTCTCAACATTGCTACTTCCTATTACCTAAATACTTACCCCGTAGGAATGAAACAAAAATGAATTAAAATGGTAGAATGAGATAAGAAACTGGATAGAGAGAATGCTTTCGAATCAATGAAAATTCAATAAAATAATGTAGAGCAAATTGAATCAACACTAGCGAACTACCAGAGGTATATCGAGGAAGGACTAAGCAGTGCCTTAAAATAACTCACATTTATTGGCATCTAGCCAGTTTACCAAACTATGATATCTAAAAAATTCCAATCAACTTTTCTATTTCAATATATAGATTAAAAAACAAACATGCTAATATTTCTGCAATCGCGCGACTGATAATGAAAAAACAGATTATTTTAGATGAACTTACTCTTGGACAGGACGAATACCAGGGGAATCTGAAGCTGGAACAGGAGCTCCAGGCCTTGGGTCAGGGGTCAAATGACGAAGAACAATGCAGTGTTCAATGGGTTGTCCCTTAAATTCACAGATATCCATAGCTTCATTAGCAACCTTCATGAGGTCGATAAGCTTTGTTCCACGCCAAGCACCATCACAAGTGACCAAAACACGGGAACTAATAAGAAGGAAGACATAAAATGGAGAACAAAGTATACTTACCCTGCAGCTATCAAACGTTCCGATAGTGACTCAGCCGAAAAGCCAGCAAAGACAACGGAATGAATTGCACCGATGCGAGCGCATGCGAGAACAGCAACAACTTGTTCAATGACCAACGGCATGTAGATGCCAACACGGTCTCCCTTATTGACACCCATACGGCGTAGTGTAGAAGCAAAAGATATAACCTATTTAGAATGATAAAGATAGATATAAGTGCAAGTTAATAAAAAGATATCCAATCAAAGAGAAAGCCTACCTCATTTAGTAATTCTTGGTAAGTAATTGATTTTCTATCATTAGGATCATTTCCCTCCCAATGAAAAGCGACTTTAGATCCCAGACCATTCTTAACGTGACGATCAAGACAATTATAACACAAATTAGTCTTTCCGCCAGAAAACCAACGGATAAAAATGTGTCCTTTCTTTAGATCGAAATTGTAAGAAAGAGCATTTTCGGCCGTTGGTTTAACTTCCCAATAAAATTGGGAGGATATATTCGTCCAGAACTCAGCAGGTTGCTTAATGGATCTTTTATGCCATTCATTGTATGTTTCTATGGAATTAATGTGAGCTTCACTCGCCAGACCTTCTGGGGGGAAGTATGCCTTTGAATCACTCATGACAAAACACGCAGACACAAAAGAGAGAGGCCTCTTCGAAGCGACGCTTCGACATAAACAATGCGTGAGTCATATCGTTGATACAAACAAACAATAAGTGATTAAAGATTTGGATCCCTAATAAAAGTGCATTACAACATTATAAATTTAATTTAACAAATTAAAGTACTGAAAATTTTTTGGATTAGATTGATTATCAATATGTAGGTATCCGCTATTTTTCATTATGGCTCATATTTATTTTAGTTCAGAAAGTGTTCTAGCCAATTAAATTCAACATTATTATTTTGAACCTATAAAAAAATATTTGTGCTATTAATATAGTGAGTTTGGTTAATCGAAAGGACCTCCTATATGCATTCAGTTATCTTGTCGGTGATTTAAGCTATAAATTTTACCTCTTTATAAATTTCATTTTTTTAAAGTACTGGAATTTCAGAATTTCAAAACTTCAATAAATGTAAAATTTTTTTGGTTTTTCATTACCTCAGTATTAGTGCTTGTAAATGGATTCCAGTTTAAAGCTATCCATTTGAAATAATAAATTTTCGACAAGATTTGTTTGCTCATCGTTACAGAAATTAAATCAATACTATTTTCTCATCATTTCATATATATATATATATATATATATTGTTAAAGATAACTTCAATATTCGTTCATTCATGAATAAATCAGCCATTAACAGCGAACATCGCCTAGGACCATTTAAGCATTTGTAATGCAAAAGGCTTCTAGAGATATCGAGGTGAATGCAAATGTCTGACAAAATCACCCCAAGCTTTCTAATCCACTACTGAAGCAAGATGACATTAAAAATGACGGGTTATAAACGATATATTTTCTAAAAAAATTATGAAAAGAATGCCACATTTCATACAAACCTCATTTAGAGCGATTGGATTTTCCCTAGATATGGGCATTCGTTCTTAGCTGAGAATTTTCACTTCCTATAGAGCTGTTGAAAAACTATAAGAAGGCTCTTATACACGGTTAAGCAACTGAATACTTATAATTAAAGGTTCTCTAACAAGTAAATGAGGAAGATATCTTACTGCGTTAAGTCTAAATAGCTACTTAATACCCTTAAGATATGAAGCATTATTTTCGTAAGTTTAAAAATTATTCAATTAGTATGGCTACCTTCTGTCTCTTCTTTAATATCTGAAGTTTATTCATTATGTGCTATCTATTTTACGATTACTCAATTTAAGAGCTATTTTCGTCTCAAAATAGGCTTAAGTTTTCTACTTTAATGTATATACTGTCATTCAAATTACGATTATAAAATATATATCTCCAGCTAACATTAGTTTTATAGATATTCTTCTCAGGTTTATCAAAAAAGTGAAATCATTTGTCAAGTTGCCTGTAAAAAGTGTTAAGTTCTTGGATCAAGTATTTTTAGATAAGTTTCAAGTCTGTTTGTGTGAAAAATACATTTGGAATTTACAATACTGTATAGTCCCCCGCATTTATACGATTTTGTAAAAAATAAAAAATCTAGGGTTTTTAATATTATAAATTCATCAATTAACGTTTTAATCGAAATAATGGCAATGAGTTGAAATTGATCATCCGATTACCTCAAATACATCCCCTATTCGTCTCCAGCTTATCCGGCGAAGTTTTAAAGGCTTGTTTTTTCTTTTTAATATTTCACTTTGTCATTAATCTACTCGTTGTGTTATTGAATGATGCCTAACCGGTTTTGCTTTTAATGAAGTCAGTTCATTTTCTGACCAGATGAAAGAATCGAAACACCAGTGTTCTTATAATCAGTTCACTATTCGCAGGTACGTATTTGCTATTCATCGTTTGTTATGTTTTTCTTGTTATTTTAAATTGCTTTTTAATTTTGAAATATAGCCATCCGTTTTCATACACGACTTTTGATCCAGTTTACTGCTCGTCTATTTTTCCGGGAGTCGATCCTCTACCTGAGAATGAGGAATTATCATCTTATCTAATGCAGATTCTTTCAAGGGTTACTCCGTCAACTAATGAAACACTTTCCGTTGGTACATTAGCATACAGAGTCATGGAAAGTTTAGAATCATTAGCTTTTGCTAAATCTACATCTGATTTCGGAGTATGTTCTTATGGTCTCAGTGACATTTTATTCCATTTTCTTCTAAAATATTTCACTTGTTTATTTTCTAATAGATTCAAAGGACAAGTCTTGTTGGTTCTTTTAAAAAAGGAACTCTGTTAGCTGGTCACAAAGTCGCAGACGCTGTCGTTCTACTTCGCGATCTACCCACTATTAAGCTAACTAGACATATCGGTCATGTTCTTACTGAAAAATTGTTCGGTTGTGAAATAATCTATCAACCTTATGGTTTTGATGTTGAACAGGGCGGCGTTTGTGTCCGAGTGGTGTTTGCTGTGGAGAATGTTGATGGGATAAGCAATGGACAGGAAGGCGTTCATAGTAAGCTCATATTGTTAATTCTATGTTAACACAATTTGACAGCCTTTTAGACACATTGGAGCCACGTGGTTATTGTTTTTAATGCTAAACAAGTCAACAATAACGAAATTGCCTATCGTAATAGATAATACTTTGGGTTTAGTATTTTAAAGAGGAGTGAAAATTGTGATCCGACTGTATATGATAATTGCTTTCCTAATAGTGAAGAATCTGCATTTTTTTATTGAAAACTCTAAACCCGATTACTACTCTGCTGAAATGCCATTATTTGGCCAATTACCACATTGTCTATTATTAATTGTTGCATCTCTGTATGACTCAATTCTTTTAAACACCAGCAAGGGCTGTTAAGCCATTACCTATCAGAACGCAATTCTCATTTCCCGTTAGAATATGACCACAAACTCTCTCTAAGAAAACATCCGGCGATGGTGATAAAGTGTCGAATCATGTTTTCTTGTCTAATTTGAACTGACGAACTCTAAGCATTAAAGTTAGTAGAAGAGTAAGAAGCCTTGTGTTCCACCCAACGATTACAATTTCAGGGAATATGCGCTGGTAAAGAGATAGATCTTTTGAATTCGGATTTATTAGATGACAATTCAGATCCTCTTGCACTTTCTTTTAATTAACAGCGAATTTTTTAATCTCGCCTTTTTTTCAAGAAAATGTGGTTAAGACTTCTAGCTCCAAAAACCCCTAAATCTTGATTTTTATTAAATTTGTCAACTCTCTGTTAGGGAGTAAACCTAGTGTGGTAAATGATTTTCTTCCGGTCATTTTTGTCAGTGAAAGGATATACTTGTTAAAATAAATAGCCGATCTTACTCAGTTTCGCTTATGTATGGTTTGATTTAATTATAATTCGCTTTTTAAGTAAGAAACTATTTCAAAGTTCCCTAGATAATCGTAGCAACTTTTAAACTTTGGGTTGCCATATGTTTGGGGGGGGGACTGTTTTTTTTTATAATTTCCTGTTCTTTTGTTGCTTCTTTGTGATATGAGTTTCCATACGCTCTCTTAAGGGTTAATGTCCCTTTAGAATTAGGGTTTTTTGTACATGATTTCTGTACTGAATAGGCATTTTATTAATTCATTTGACACCGTTTCTGTTGTTTTTTTTCAGTGCTTATCTAACTATCCAAGTGGCTCATGTGTTGGTATTTACAATGTATTCCTTATTTTCTCCTTTATTTTGTAGTTAGCCAATCAGATCAAAAACTCGCTCACCTCGCAGTCCTCCACGGTCGTTGGGCTGAACAAAATGCTTCACATCCTAAGTAGGCTCAAATTTATTTCTGTCTTTCAACTTTTTCGCATTGCTAACTTCAAATTATTTCATCTCTCTTATTTTATTTGCTTTTATTGTTCCATTTCTCTGCTTTATCATCTCTTTGCTTTCCATAATTCTTCCCATTTTCCCTTCTTCTAGCGTTAAAGCCCTCATCCGCTCACTGAAGGATCTTAGACGTCGATTTGTTGGCTTCAGTCATCTCAACCCTTGGCAAATAGATATGATCGTAAGCGCACTATATCCTTTTATATTTCTGCAATAATTGTTCGAATTTCTGTATTAGTAAGTCAAGTTCTCTTGAGCAAAACCTTGGTCATTCAAAGAAGGTTGAGAAGTAGTAAATAAATAATATATATTTACATCGCATTTGAGATCGACGTTTAATTAGTTCAATATGAAATTTGGAGGAGTTAAGAGATTCTGGTTTTAACCCTTTAACACCCAAAAGATCGTACAGTCCTCTTTCAAAATTAGCTCCATTTTTACTAGACTCGAAGCAGAAGACGCTACTGTCGTTTGAAACGTGTTTAGTACACCTACAGCCTTCGTCTGTTTCCACTACAACTCATCAATTCGACGGCATCAGTCTGCTTTAAGACAGGCATGAGTGTGGCTGGGTGCTTTTAAAAATAGATAATTCAGGCGTTAAAGGGTTAAATCGAAAAAAAGATCCTTTGTTTAGCTCGATTTTCCATTAGTGTATCTATTTAGCTCTCTTTTTTATGGCTCACTGTGCGCTTACTTGTTTTGTTTGGTTGGAGTTTAATGCTGTAGACGCAAGATTGGTTTATATATTTGTATTTCATTACGCCTGATCACTGTACAAGATCATATGACTTAAGTGGTTGATTTAATATTTCTAAGGGAGAGAAGGATATACGCCACTCAATCATACAGGACTTTTTATTCACTTCTGCAAACTGAAGTTCTTAAGGAAATGTGAATGGCGTTCATGAAGTTCTTTTCTTATTCCTGGGGCTATCGATTTTACCTCCATTAAATTAAGGGCGCATTTTACTGAAAATCGACCTTTAGCCTGCGCTTTAGAGAATAAAAGCTTCTGTCAAACGTACACATGAGGTCCTTTCAGTGATTTGTCCGTTTGATGGAACTGCTAGACCATGATTCGATTCTTGTCGATGAGACATTAGAATACCGAATGGTATATGTATTGTAGCTAAAAGATAAATCGCCCAGGTACTAGATCAGTTCAATTTAGTGTCCCCTTAAAGCATATTAGTTGTTGAGTTTGTATGTCTGATCAACTATATCTGCCTTTGAGGTGCACTCAAAGATTAATGATTGCCAGAATTCTGTTTTCTAACCAGGAAAGCTTTAGGACGTTTTCTCGCTACTCAATATGAGTGCAGGAATGGGAGACATTGTTAATAATTATTATTCTATTTCAGGCTTCCCATGTTATAATGGATGGACCGATTGCTGAACCCCTCTCGCTATCTGCTGGTTTCCAGTAAGAATGTAGTATTGCGTGTGAATATGTGGAATTTGCGAGTACGTAGAAATATGAATTTCACTCTTTCTTCCAGCCGATTCATCCAGATCCTTTCGTCCGGTTTCTTCGCTCCCAGTAGCTCGGGTCTCCTAGATCCCTTTAGATTGGGACAACGTCGTGTCCACGTCACAATGTCTCTTGCACAACAGGTTAGTAAAATAGTCGCGAATCTAACTTACTCTTGTTTCTAGGATGAACTATGTCGCACTGCTCAAACGGTTTGCAAAATTCTGAAAATGGGAAAATATCAAGTGCTGTTCGACAACATGTGTCCGGTCAAGCTTATAACTCTCGGTACGTTCTTTCAGCCCAACAATTAAAAACATTCCTCACCTAATTTCATTATTCTTACTTATGTTTGTTTGATAATAATTTTGTAAAAGGCGTGCTAGGGTTGAGAAACAGAAGAATCATCAGGTAATACATCTGGCAAATGAAGTTTTCACTTCTTTATGCATTTCTCTAATGCGTTTATTAAGCAACTCTTTACAATCTATTGCCGCGCTGAAATGTTAGTAATGTAGTGAAGTAGTGTTCAACATCAGAAAGTCTGATCCAGTTTGTTTATCTTCAATCAGAAAGTTTAACTCCTCTGTAGACTCACATGTCACACCACTGGATTCCCTTCTTAAGACCTGAGCTTTCCCCTTGTGCTCAGTAAAGCTCATTTTGCTTATTGCGAATCATAAGGAGTTGAAAGGTTGATAGATCAGCAAGAACTCAACAGTCACTTAGATAATTAGCTATTACCAATCCTCCAACAATAAGCAATCGAATACGCCTTATTGGGTTGATACAGAGAGGGGCTGCACTTTGGAGGTCTATTTCGCATTATTTAAATAGACATCTCGTAAACGAGGAGGGATTTTCTAGGCTGAACAGTGAATCTTATACTTAAGACAGGATGCAAGAACCTTATCAATTGGGGAAACCGTCGCAAATTAGTTTACTAATCCTTTGCAATCGCTCCCGATTTCTTTATGTGCCACTTCTAAGCAATGGCTTCTTTTCAGTGGCATTTGAAAGTATTTGGTTGGTCTTAATGGGCTTCTTTATTTTCAGAGGAGCTGGTGAACTCTGCTAACGCCCTACCTGGTGAGAAGATCTCTGTTCCCAATCCTATTGATCTTGGACTATCCCCAGTAGAAATCGTCGACCAAAACAGAATTTCTGATTAAGCACTATGCTAATAAATGCACTATTTTTCTATCCAACACCCCGTCAACAATAAGAGAGAACTCTCTGATTTGAGAGTTATCACTTGGCATTTCATTCTTTTAGAAGGAAACAGAAAGTCGCAGTAGTAAAAGGTAGTATCTTGAGCATGGCGCAAGGGTGTGAATGAGTAGGTGAAATAGAGTGGTAGATAGGGAAAGATAGAATCGCGAAGCCTAAAGACATGAATAAGGGGGGGGGGGACAATGTGCAGATCATTTCCACAGTCGCGAAATTGAGTTAGAGGCGTGTTTGAGTGGGGAGATGGGGGAGGTGTTAATGTCGAAGGAAACTCTTGGAACTGCGTGTCTTGGAAGCGAGTTTGGTTGGTAGACTGCCGAGGGCATTGGTAATACTCCCTTGTCTTTGAGTTTTCTCAGGTTGCTGAGGGGAGACATGTGCTGGCCCCGTGGGTGGCCTTAAAGGGACAGGATTTGGATGGTATGCGCTATTCGACTCGACCTGCAATCAAGACACGGAATGGCTTATAGATATTCCTGTTTTGCCCTAATTCTACTACAATTAGATTATACTGTCTCCGAAGGCCATAACCCTGCCAGGCCAAATTCTCTGCTCATGTTCTTTGCTAACACAGGCAAACTTGCAACCAAGATACACTGATTTAGTTGCCTATTAGCTAAAACTATATTAGGCATTATAGCTAAGTCAGATCAGGTGCTGGCTTATTATTGTTAAAAGATTATTCAGCTTGTCCGAATTAACAAAGCTTACGAGGTAAAAGATTTCGGAGGGTTAGCCTAAAGTAAGAATATTGGGTATGAGGAGGACTCAAAGTCTCAAATGTGCTTTAGGAGCAAAATGTTGAGAATCACTACAATCTATGAATGAATCGAAGTGTGATTGATGTTGCAACCTGCTTCTATAGAGGTGGGATAGTCGACTCTGAAGGGGCTAACTAAAGTCCTCATTACCAAAGATTGATTAATTATTAGACAACAAAGTACAATGGAGGCGATTCTTCAAAGACTAAAACACGATGACTAAATCTCTTCAATGAGCGAGAAAATGGAACTATAATTTGTAACTCAATTGCCAACAGAGAAGCCATGATCGAAACCCTATAGCCTAATTGACAAAGAGGATCAGGACGCAGAGAACGTGGTGTAAAGAGGGCAATAAAGGATTGACGTCTGTCCAGTGAAAGAGTGAGTTGTATTTATTGGTGGAGGGAATTAAGAGCAGTTGAAGTAGAATTTAGAAGTGTAACAGTACCTTTCCGATAGGTGGGATATGACAAAAGGAGGGACTTAAGGAATATACAACAATTGGCATATAGAAGATCTTAAATTGAATGCGCGATAGACTTACCTCCACATGGTGCACTCTGGGCAACGCATACTCATACAACCAAAAAGTTGACTTCTCACTTCAAACTACCATGACCCCGCTGTATGTTATAATCGACTACTTTCACGGTACCTCACCTTTTTCTCTACCTTTGTGTCTATCTCCTTTACATCTTTGAATTAATCTTCTGTTCCAACTCTTGACTTCTTGTGACTTTGATGTTCCTCCACCCTGTGAAGCCCGAAGTCAACTAAGGGGCTAATGGTAACTATCACAAAGCTTGTCATTTAATATAAAATTCGGATGAAGCTTACTGTCAAATCACCCAAGCTGCTTGTAGCTATCAAAAGTGACATAGTTTAAGTAGCTGAGCACTGACCTGTTTGCATTAAATAGCATGTGGACAACTTAATGAATTCAGATAATTTGCACTTCACTTCACACCTCCTTCCGGGCTAAGGTGCTTCACAAAGATCGAAAAATGGGAACTTTGTTTGCGCTACCACGAATAGCGATAATGATGGACATGCCACAAGGTCACGCCATGTCATGGACATAGCTCGACGGTAATGTAGAAGAACGCTGGGGTGGGTTTACCACAGAGGTTTCTCGCCTTTCCCATGTGTCACATGTGAAGGCCTATCTATTGATAAATAGAAAATAAAAAGACGAGAAACGAATAAATTCTTGACTAAGATACCATAATAAAAAAAGTGACAAAATCTCAAAAATGCCAACTTCTATTTCACTAATAAAATGACCAATTGTTTTGCCTATCGTTAACCGCCGAGATCTGTTTATTGTTTATTGCGAATAGACATACACACCTTAGCAAATCCTCTGAACATTTTTTGGCAAAAAGCTTTCGGTGAGTTTCATTTTACTACAAATAGCAGCAGTGCGTAAAACACTAACAGACCACAGCAGGACAAAGTGTAGGAAAAGATACTTGGAAGAAAAAAAATACAGATCACAGGAACCCAATGTGTGCACCCAAAAAAAAACAAACTGAGAATTCCAGTATAGGTACTTACCGGATGGTTGGCGGGGTTTTGTGTGTAGTTTGCGTATCTTCCATACTGGGACTCGTTGGAGGCAGTTCGCGGCTTTGGAGAAGACGGAAAGGGAACGTTGCGTCTATCGCCTAGTTCCTACAAGAAATTATATGAATACATAACGACGGTTAAACCACATACGGACTTGCAGTTAAAGTTAAGATCTAATAGATCGTGTTATGGAAAGCTGAAACTGCAGTGTCCGAGTTTCGGAGTACCTAATTTGCAAACTTACCTCCTCAATAATAATCTGATAAGCGATGAATGCAAGAAAATTAAACACATTTCCAAAGATGACGACGACAATAATTTTACGGTTAGACAAGTTAACGATCAGCAAATTGATGCGCATTAGTTAAAGCTAATATGAAAAGACTTTATTTTGGGTAAGGCTATCATGATCAGGGAAATGCAGGATAGACCTAATTAGATATCCTAACATTTCGTTTGACTTAATTAACAAGAATCAGGGTGTGAGAGTGATTGATTACCATGATTCATTATTTGCATTCTTCAGAATAACAGTAAAAAAATCCTCTGCTATATATATTGATTTATTTGTCTCAAAGAGGCAATTAAGGAGTTGATACAGAGTGGTAAAAGATGAGGTTTAACTTCACAAATAATAACTGATAATAGTCCGAATATGCCATCACAGAAAGAATGCATTTCCAGCACTTTTATAAGGCAAAAGAATGGCGACCTGAAACACCTTGGTGAGAAACTCACACTCCACCATCTCTATTTTTAACATGAATCAAAAATGATGATGTCAGTGATGAGTGTCAGTCTCGTGATCTATGGCCTCATGCTCGATGAGAAACCGCACTAAACATATTTACTTTCTGAAAAGCTTGCCTTAAAATTGAGTAATTTCACCGCACACCCCCCCCCCTCCCCACCCCACCACCAACATCTATGATATCGCCAATTTAGTATTGGTTATTTAAGTTAGTACAAATAATAGAATAATAGGCGATCGATATTGATTTGTTTAACGGGTCTATCTGAGTAGTGGTTTCAAATTAACTTGAAATTGACAACTGGGAAGTGGGGATACAAGTGATCAGAACTACTATAGCATCACAAATGAATGAGGAATCAATAATGGATGCCGAAGCAGTAGTTAAGTTGTCACTTTTTAATCTGTTAGGAAAATGTTATGCTTCATTAGTTAATTTAACCCTTAGAGAGTTAAATCCAAAATGTTACCCTTGGAACGGACGCAGGGAAGTAGTTTCTGTGACCCTGGATATAAACAATAGGAAAAATTTTGACAATTTTCATGCGAGTAGAAAGACGCATTACACTATCTTACATATATATATATATATATACGGTTATGGTTGACGCGGATAGGTAGCAATAAAGACACAGTTGAATCAGTTAGCATTACTGTTAACACAGCAACAAAACGCAGTATATAAAGGCGGTTAAATACCTTGACAGTGAATGTTTGCAAACAAGCGCGATCCGGCTAAAAATAACGCACACGCATTTAGGTGGGGTGGGGGGAGGGGGAGTGAGAGTGGTGATCAGGGTTAGGGTATAATACCTTGTTTAATGAAGATATACAAGATCAGAGCATCTTGGGCTGGAGCAGGCTGATTCAAACAAATTAGTGCTCTCTTCTTAACCTCCAAGGTCGTTAAAGTAAATCAATTCGTGGGGCCAATTACAGAGGGACTGTAAACTCTACTTAACTTAGACAGAGGCCAGGTATTCTAAATCCTTTCTGGAGAGAAATTTGATCCCTTGAAGTATTAATCAATACGACAGAGACCCCAAATTATTGGATGTGTATAGATCATATGATCGCTGGTTTGAGAGACGGGTGTGCGAGTCGTGAATGGTATCGGTGGTATTGGAAGAAATGAGCATTTTGGAACTCATCCTATGCAAAGGGAAAGCTCTGCCTAACCTTTTTTCTGCCTGTTGAAATATCAGCATTTTATGTATAAAATTGGGCAAGGTGATGAAAGAATGAGAAAAAACGGGAGGTAAAAAGTTTTTGTGGAATATGGAATGATTGAGCAGAGGCACCTAACGTCCTGTTTATTCGTGCTAGAAGGTGGGCGAAATATATTTTCTTATGTACTCTAAGTCAACTATTGCTCGTTTCCATCAATCGTGGCTGAAAATTACACCCAGCTGGTCTTATTCCCTCCCTCCTCGTAAATACGAAAATGGCGCATTCTGGCTAAGGTGACCTTAGAGACAACTATTTCATTGGTGTTGGAAAATTGTATGAATAATTAACATGAAATAGCCAAACCAAGAGTATCTTAATTTAGCCTGTTGATTGCAACACAGTTTCCACTCGTTCTCTGACTTCTCTCCTGCCCCTCCAGCACCTAATACACCTGGGAGTCATTCGAGTTCTCATCTTCTTCGCCCTGATTATACCTTCTTATTATTTCTGCAGGTAACGAGGGATATTTCTATAAAAAGGCTAACGATTGTGGCTATATGGATGTAAATACCAAAACGACTAATAGAGCAGATTCGAATTCCTTCCCAAAACACAGTATCCAACAAAATCAAAATAATTAGCCTATTAAGCAGAGCTACTCGTAAACGGATAAATCCCGTGATACCAGATTCACAGACACATACTTCCGGAAAACAAGTGAGAGCTTCATCAAATTGTAGTAGTCGAGTTAAGAAACCAACCACAGTGCAACTACGTACAATCTTGCACTCAAATTATTCAAAGCAGCGAGGTGATAACTATGGAATGGGAGATTCTGCTTCAAACCACACGATAAACACCCTTTGAGGTGCAATAACTAAAGTATCCACCCTGACGTCAGTCATTTATCTAAACAGTTATAGTTTTTGTCCGTGGGCTAATAGGCAAGTGAATTTTGAGGTACAGCACAGAACACGTGGAATAACACGGAACGACAGTGGACCAGTGAGAATCTTAAACCCTAGATATACTCAGCCATACGAGACCATAATGATGGAGAGGGACCCTTTAAACCTATCGATGCATTTTGGCCTATCTCTCATACTTCCATAAGGCCATCGTGGCAGTTACTTCTACACTGTGTTATACGTGAAATGGTTCCAAGACTACGGTTCCCACAATCTAATCACAAGTTATATTCTGCCTGAGTCTTCTAGACATTATCTGTTAGCGTATAAAAGTAAATCAGAATTAAATAGAACTCACCGATCCTTCACTTCGACAGGATATATTGTGAGTCAGCGAAGTGTTTGAAGGCTTCTCAACATCTAGAGAATGCAGATTGGTTGCCGAACCTGCCGTAAACAAGAAAAAACTATAAAAATAAGTTCTAGAACTAAGACAATGAGTGTACCACAGTTTTACTCGCCTCGAAGTCGACCCATGTCAATACCTCGACTTGCATGCAAATCAATCTGTTCCTGGAGTGTCCGACTGTCCCTCTCATACTGCTCTTGTTTCTCTTCCAGATTTTTGGCAAGGTTCTTCAATTTCTGATCCTCTCGTTCCAAACGAGCCTCCTCTCTCTGTTTCTGGGCAGTCCAAGCAGCTTGCTCGTCTTCAATCTTCTTCTGAAGGGATCGTAGATACTCCAACTCCCGTTTGGTGTTAATTGAAGTTTGCTAAAAGGTTGAGATATAAACCGTAATAGCGTCTGAAGAAGCACAATGCGAGATAGCTAAACTCAAGGAATAGATTGTCTGAGAGTCCCGTGGGGGAAATAGAACAGTTCAGCTTTGAGTAAGTGTGAAATGGTATATTAGCGCCGTAATTTTCCTTGAGGTATCCAATTAAACCTAATCAAATATTTACACATTCAACGGCAAATCTCAAACATAATTAACACATTTGACGGTCTAATAGGACGAAATATACAATTTCAAAGTGTCATTTCTGCCTTTTACTTAAAAAGCCAACTTTCAGAAAGAATTATACAAGAAAAGTTGTGCGGAGAGAATTTCACAGAAAAATTTCACCCAAAATTATATTGCGCACAAAGACGTCACTAATTGCATTACACGAATATTGATAGTTTACAACTTTCAAACAAACATTACCCACATTGTAAGAAATCTCTGAAACAAATATTCGTCTGGCTTTGGTAGTAGATATGATGGTTGCTCCCAGCTTGTGCTCACTAGGAAGTAGTTTATTAATTAATTAGCACTGAAGCCATTATCTAAGTTTGAATAAAAACTCGAAAAATGCCCCCACAAAAGCTCTGAATATAAGCATTACTAAATCGACTTAGTTTAAAGCGTTTTCCTAGTAAGGTAAGACTTAATGACCCTAAATCGATTACTTCTCAAGAATACCGTTATTAGGGAAAAACAGAGTTTACACGATGATAAATTTAACAACTAACGACACAAAATTCTTCACAGACAATCTTTGGGAGGCATTCAACGAGAAGCTTAAGAAGCCTCAATGGATAATGCTAAGTGGAAACCGAAAAGGATGAATTTAAGTCAGAAGCGAATGAATCGCGCATAATCGAAGTGGATAAAACGAAGCACAAAACAGAAACTATTCATTTAAAGCACTGTAAGAAGTCATGCATTTGGAAAATGGGTAAAGTGTGATATACCGAAATTAGTGATTTTATTACTGAAATAACAACCAGTAGTAAGGTGAGACTAAATTGAAATAACTTACTCCTCCAGTTAATTCCACTTCTGTCTTCAGTCGAAGATTATCCTTCTCCAATTCTAGACGACGCAGATACTGGTTTTCATAGGTTTCCTAAATAGGAGATGTAAGAGACAAACTAAGAGTACTTAAACTGAGAGAATTAAGTAGACTTATGACAAGAATGTTGCTTACCAAAAGAGCTAGAGCTAAATCCTGTATTTCTGCAACTAGGAGATTGGGATTTGTGAGAGAGGTGAGAGAAGAATCGAAGGACACCTCACAATTACGATCCTGGACCTCCGAGGAGAGGTACTCACGTGGGAACTCTGATGAAGAACCCTCCCCACGACGTCGGCTTCCTGTACGAAGCAGATTCGACAGCCGAATTTGGGACTTTGAAACAAAGTGAAATCGATAATCAATAAATCAATGAAGGACAATCAAAAAGCATTAGAATAGGAGCTTATTCGAGAATTTAAGGCATAAGCATTTTATTGTTAACGGTATTAATTAAAAAAGGGCGTTCTAACATCTTATTTAATTAAATGGACTTTTTTAAATGCTATGATTTTGAGTAGATTGACGTCAAGGAATATAGCCTATGTGAATTGGAGCCTAGGAATGTCCAAACACCAAAGAGAAGAGTCATACTCTTACAATGTAGTGACTTTAGAATTTTGTTTGAAGACAGCTATAGAAACATGGAGTAAAACTGCATTTGCATTTACCTGCAAAGTTAAAGGAGACGCAAATCAAATAGAGGAGAGACATACCATGAGGTTCTCATTAAAGTGGCTTCATAACCCGTGTGGCAAGTGTTGTGAACACACCACTCCTACTAAACTTGGTAGGTTTCATCGAAAACTAATTGCGATTATAAAAATGTACTTTAAAGCCTTCCCATAAAAATAGTAGGGTATAGAATAGATGCCTTTAGAGAAGGGTGAACTAATTGCAGGCTCAAATAAAACCGACAAAAATATACCACTAACTACTGACTGTTAATTTGTCAAGGCAACATTGTACCATATTCTGATTTAAAAGACCAAAAGTTATATATGAATCAGGAAACAGGGCGTTTTGTTCTAAGTAACTGAATAAGAGAACCGAAATGAAAGAGGAAAGAAAAGTAAGTATGGAATCCTGTGATCCGGAATACGAACCTTCAACCCCAAGGAAATTCTGAATCAAGCTCTTGGAGAAAAAGACAATACATTCAAACATGAATACAAAGTATTTTTGGAAGTAATGCCTAAAAAGCCGCTATCAGTCATTTCAATTCACAAATCGCTGAGAGTAATTCAAAAGATGCAGGAATACACGAAGCTAATTTGTCAAAATAATGGATATAATGACGTAAGGGAACAAACAAATTGTACCAGACTGACTCAATAGAGATCATTGAAACAAAATGATAAAGAGAAGGATTTAGTCAGCAATTAATAATTCATTTTAATTAGCACGACATTTTTAGGTGTTATGGTCAGAGGGCGGAAAATAGTCTCAATGGGGATAAGACGTTCAATTTTCAAGGTCATAGTAAGGTTATTAGAAGAAAAGAAATAAGTTTAAAATTAGGCCAGACACACCACATTGAAGAGCATTAGAATAGACGAAAAAGGGAATTTTTCAGTTAGACACAAGAAGGCAAAGCCACCAATTATCGGGTAAGCATTAAGGAGGGTTGGGGGGGAGGGGAGGGATTATTAGTAGGCACATGGAGATCGACTCTACTCTTCCCGAAAATATGGCCCACGGCCATCAAATATTGGATCAGAAGGGCGGGTAAAGAGAAGCACTTACTTCAAGGCTATTTCTATGGGTAGACTTTTGTTGATGCTATGGCATAACAGTAACGAGAATAATGAATTCACACAGTGTAAAATTGTAACTCCAAGGCATATCACTGGTACAGTGATAATCATTTCATAATGCAAACGAAACAAGGAATTCAGCATTAATGCTAATGCAGAACTCACCTTTGGCTTGATTCGGAATGTCACATTATCTTTGTCTCCGCGTTCTGCAACCGAAATAAAATCATGTTAAGATAATTATATTGATCCCTGAGAGAGAGAAATCGAAATGAAATACGGATAAAATTAGGAATGCTGAGGTAACTGCTTACGTTAATCGGGTCCTCCGTGTATGAAGACCACAAATAACCCCCCCCCCATTACGCTTCAAGCATTAGCAAACGTTACCTTTCAAATGAATTTTACACTGGCAATTCAGTTTACGATGTTGATGAGGCGATATACAGTGACGTTGTAGCTAAGCGATGTCAAAAAGGAAGAGTGGGGGTTTCTCATCAAAGCGGGTATGCAATGGCCCCACTTCATTCAAGCCAATTGTTGGTAATATTTAGCATGATGGGCTCGGGGAACTAGGTCAGTATCTTCTAATCATCAGTGGCGTAGTGATTAAAGTTTAATACCCATCATGAGAATGGAAGAGAAGAGGAAGAGGAGAATAGAGAGCGAGTCCCTCAGAGACGAGGCTAACCAAGGTGACCGCTGAAAAACGCCTTACTTCGGCACATTTGTAACAGGTACTTTTCTTTTCGTCTTTACATTAAATCGTGTCCTCCACAGTGACAGGGTCAAAAATGTACGCATGAACAAAATGAAGCTAAAAAAATTTCCTTAACTTCGTGAAAGTACAGCTTTTCTGTCTGGAATCAATGCACTTTCGTTTATTCCCCAATAACTACGAAGAGAAATTTATTTCATTTCATAGGTTCTGACCTCTCGAAACAGAGGGAAGCTAGAGCAGCCTTACTCTTGACTTTGGATCGTGGTCAGTGGTGTATCGATCCCTTAAGGACTTGTGAATCGGTGTAATAGTAATCGGATGTCAACCCCTTTAAGGCATTCTCTATTTTTCATTAGAGGGGTGTGCGATAGACTTACCTCCACGTGGTGCACCAAGAGCAATGTATACTCAAACGGCAAAAAAGTCTATTAACTGGGAGTTGATTTCTGACTTCAAACTACCATGACCCCACTGAGTGTCAAATTCGACCCCTTTCACAGTACTCATCTTACCTTTTCTCCACCTTTGTGTCTGTCTGCCTCTTTTACATCTGTGAATCTCTCTTCCGTTCCCCACCCCTCGACTTTCTTCTACTTTGATGAACCTTCCCTCTGTGAAGCCCGAAGCCAGTTAAATGGCAGATGATAGCTACCAGAACGCCTGCCATTTGAAATAAATAAATTTTTCATTAGAGGATTGAATTATACTTAGGTCATTGAGGTCACTCTTTTCTTGAACAGGGGCCGTGATTGCATGTTCGTGCGAAATGGATGTTTAAAGTGCATTAAAATTTCGCCCAATTCCATTCTCCCATTGATGAAAAGAAAAAAATATTACATAGGAGAGGGAGGATAAAATAGGACATAAGTAGTACAGATAGGTGCAAATACAATTTGTGAAAATCAAATTGAAAGCGAATTGAAATTGTCTTATCAGCTTTCAAAAAGCCAATGGCCTTCCCAGGTTTTTTCACCCTTCAGTTCTTGTCGAAGACGAAAAGTCTTAAAGACGAATCACGAAGTAAGAATATCGAGCAATAGGCGCTGAAATCTCCTTTCATACTTACCAGACTATTATGCGCTGTTGCAGAATTTAGAGTACCTTATTGTGGTTTAAAGTACGCAACTCAGGATGAAGAGTTTGGGTACCTTGTTTAAGCCCACCTAGAACTCACCGAAATTAAGAAGTGAATTGACAATGTCTTCTTTAAAAAAATAACACCCTTTAGCCAAGCACGAGTTAATCACGTAGGACTCGTGTTCTGCATCCACGCATACATTATTTTTTTTTCAACGAATTGAGTCGTCTCAAAATCAACCACAAGTAGGTTTTTCAGGTGAGGTCTTTCAGCTATCCATTACTCATCCTTTCTACTTGGAATTGAGAAAATTGAATGCACTAAGGAAGTACATCAAATTTCTACTGCACAGTAAACTTGGAAGGAAGTATTGGAACAATAATTTCTTGTTGAATATGAGGGAAACTTAAAGAGAGAATTAAGTGAAAAAAAACAGATTGTTATAAATAAGCCGTTGATAGAAAACAAGGACTTAGATGCGGAGATGTAGTGAAGATTCTCAAATAATAAATAAGTTTGGCATGTCATTAATTAATCAATTAATCTTTTCTACAACGATTTTCGGTCTTGGAAGTAGCAATTATTTTGAGGTTCCCCTCAAACAATATAACTTGATTTCTCTCATTGCGCTGAAAGGATCATTATCGACAATTCTTAACCTCTATACACTTATTCTTTGTGCCCAAACAACCAGGCACTTTCCTGCTCCTCTATACATAGGCTCAATATCCCAGACACCTCTGTGATTTCCTTCTGCATTCAATATAGCTATCCAACCAACGAATTTCTCCCCACCACGTTGCCGTAGTGATAGAAGGAGCTGCAAGAAAATCCGACGACATGGCTGTAAAGTCCTGTAGCGACGAAAAGAGAAGACATATGTCAAGGTACGTCCAAGAGTGGGCTATTATTCCCCAATCCGTAATTGACATATTTGAAATATTGCATGACTGATAATATCAGGCATCTTCACAGTGATTGGTTCATGGATTCTCAAAATTTTATAACCATTAATAATTTTTATATAATTATGTTCTTCGTTGAAATAAAATGACCTCTTCTATTCTTGGTTGCCTCTATTCCCATCAAAACCTCGTCCTCCTCCTCCTAGCATTTCAAAATCTGCACGAGTCACTAAATTTAAGGCCGTCAGGGCTTTCGCTGCCAAGCGTGATAAGGATCAGCAACCAAGCCAATGGGATAATAATGAATATAATACAATTACTAGAGAAAAAACAATATTACTCCGGCGAAATAATCAATTTCATTTGTTAAGAGAGAGTCACATTGCACGACCTACGGATTATTTCCATGTTTTAAACGAAATGCATTGTAAATACCACCTCCCTTCCCTTCCCTACCCCCTCCCCCCTCCCACCATAAATAAGCCAAAAAAGGCATTGATGATGAAAGCATCAATGCTCACTCCGCTGTCCACATTTAGAAATGACGTTGAGACGGGACGAAAAACCGTTTTGTCAACATTCAATTACGAGCCAATCCATCCTCGTTTGCCCTATACGAACGCCATTTTCACGCTCTTAGAGTTCAGATACTTGCTTTTCTGTTCTTCTTTTTAAAATGTTCACCATCTTCATTAGAAACACAAAAGTCAACATTGCCCACTTGTTACATAAGGGTGACTTCTTTTCAAGTAAAAGGCCAAAAATAGATTACTTTTGGAGTCTCCATTGGCGTCGGGCATAGGCGGTGGCATAGAAGTACTGGAATAAGAAGCTCGTCGATCAGCGGCATCGGATGCACTACGACTCAGGCAGGTGACATCCGAATCTCCACATAGGCTCGCCAATTGCATCACTTAATAACAAAAAAAAGTTGATAGAAAATGCGAAGATAATATCAAATGCATGCAGGTAATGGGTAAAAGTACGAAATTTCCCAACCATAAATTTGATTTAAAGTTCAAGATGAAAAGGTAGGTATTGAAATAGAACACTAAGTGAGGGTCGGGGAGAGGGGGGGGGAAGAGGTGACATTATAAAGCAAGTCATTTTCATGCGTGTATATAGATTGAAATAAATTAATTAATTCGCGCAGAAACTGTTGGTTGCCTTGACATGGGTATTACTGATAGAATAGGCATTTTTTGGTGCACTTGCAGAGCGTCATTGTCCTTAATAGGGCATTAGTATTACAATGACCGATCGCTTGATGCGAATGATCTTAAGGTTAATTTCCGATCAATTCTTACCAAAAAATTGCCTGAAATCCTTCAACTTGGCTGGGGGGGGGCTTTTAATTAATGCCTTTAAGTTTATGTTGTTTGTCGTAAAAAATAGAGGCTTGCCTTAATGAAACAATTTCTTCAAACTTGCGAGAAATAGGGCTAAACCGTAACTTATCTAATGCGTTCGATGACCTCAGAGTCTTGAAGTCAATTGACGCGCGCAGAGGGGTCTTGAATTCAGGTCAGGGGACTTGTCGACATAAGACAAGCACGAATGATATTTTGAAGGGGGTGCGTGATAGACTTACCTCCACGTGGTGCATCCTGGGCAACGTATACTCACATGGCACAAAAAGTCTATAAACCTACAGTTGACTTCTGACTTCAAACTACCATCATCCAACTGTATGTCATATTCGACCACTTCCACAATACTCATCTCACTTTTCTCTATCTTTGTGTCCATCTGTCTCTTTTACATCTGTGGATCACTCTTCTGTCCCCCCTCCCATTCGACCTATTTGTCACTTTGATCTTCCTCCTCCTCCTCTCTGCGGAGCCCGAAGTTAGCTAAAGGGCTAATGATAGCTGTCAAACCGCCTGCCATTTGAAATAAATAAATAAATATTTTGAAGGGGGGGGGGACTTATTTAATTCACAAAATTGTCAACTCATTTACATTCCATGTGCACCAAATTTCAATACAATAAATATTTAGCATTTTTGCCTCATATTGAATTAGGCTGCACTACGCAAAAGAAAAAGGACTACACTGCCGCAGATAAAATCTTCATGGGCCATTTTACTAACGATGACCTTGAAAACTTTATTTTACTTTTTGAAAACATTAGAACAATGGCCTAACAAGCGATGTGGTTGGCGTTCATTTAAATTAAAACAAAGGCGAGACCTCCTCAGAAGGAGGAATAAATCACAGGAATGCACTCTCTATTTTAACAGATTTTCAAATATAAAGAAATGAACGTTGAGAACTGTCATAATAATAGGGTGTTGTAAAATATTCTTAATTTAAAATTCATTCAAATAATAAAATACTGGCGTAAAATTAAGATTAATTGTTGCGGAACTTATTGTTGTAAAAGTCTACGACTAAGCAAAATAACTTATATGAAGACGCAAACATCTACAATTTGTAATGGGGGGGGGGGCGACTGTATAAAAAGGAGAACGTAGAAAAAAGGATGATTCGTATAAAGATCTTATGTTTCAACCAACATCAACTGTAGAGATATTGTCCAAAAATATTATTCCCTATCTAATAGCTATTTCAATTATTTCATACCAACAAAAGTGTTTTCTAACACTACTGGGAATTACATTGCAAATCACATGCTTTCTTGTGGATATCGATTTTTATAGATGGAGGTGAATACGGAACTAAATGTCGCTAGAATGGGGTGTGCGATAGATTTACCTCCACGTGGTACACCCTGGGCAACGTATACTCATACGGCAATAAGTCTTTTAACCGGCAGTTGACTTCTGACTCCAAACCACCATCACTCCAGTGTATGTCATATTCAAACTACCATGACCCGACTGCATGTCATTTTCGAATGCTTCCACAGTACCCGCCTTACCTTTTCCCTGCCATCGTGTCTGTCTCTTTTACATCTTTGGAACATTCTTCTGTCCACCCCCCCCCCCTCTCGACTTTTTCACTTTGATGTTCCTTTCCCTCGGTGAANAATTCAGCTAACTGGACGCATGACTTGGAATGAACGTGTTGCCTCTACCCATGCCGAAGACCATGCCAGTAAACTTAATTGTCCAGGTAGCATGACCTATTGTCTGTCCGATGGAATGGCGCATTTAGAGATGTAACAATCATGATCAACAAATTTGTTATACTTTACCATTAATTAGGAAAAGAAGAAGCTGTGGCGCAGTAGATGCAATTTCTAAGTTCAGTAATAAAGACAAGGCCCGATTACTCTACCCGTTTACCAAAGCTGGCACCTTACCACTCAAGTTAAACAATGTATTGAATTAAACAAATACCATTGAAGTGCACTAAATGTCTATTTAACGTATCAGCAAACACACGCACAGTTCTAAGCCTACTTACCGTTCTTCATGAATCTATCATGCAGAGTTCGTACTTTGGTCTGTTCATCCTCCGCCTGTTGATGGGAATCAGACTGACTTGTCAGGGAGCGTCGGGTGTTTGTCGAGCGACCACTGTTTGATCTAGAAGCTGAGATAGTGAGACCCTCATCGACAAAGAGAGTACGAAAAGCGATGTTGCGCACTTCCCACTGGGAGAAAATATCCGCAGAGAGTTGATTAATCAATTCCAATTTCTTCTCCTGACGCTTTCTTCGTTCCTCGGCAGCCTCCAAACGCTGCGTGTTCTTCTCTATCACTACAAGGAACGAGAGGAAACGTGACTATTCAAGGGGCCTTGCATAAAACAAAGCCTCACTTCATCTAACCACCCCAATTTCTTCAATAATGGCTATATTATCATTATCGCAGTAAAGCCCAGCGTTTTTCCCATATAAGAGGGTTTATGAATTTGACTTATCGTCAAATTTTTGTGTGAATAAAGGTAATTAAGTCCACTTTATCAAGTTCGCACCCTTTCATCACCGTGTCCGAAGTTGTCCCATCAACCTATTAGTAATGATGACGCCTCTTGTCACGCTGAAGTATATGCTAATGGTAAGATTTTATTACTCATAGTAAAACAGCTTCAAGAGGATTTACGTGGAAGTAAAAAAATGATAACTCCAATTGAGAAGTAAAGCTACGACACTAAAACGTGGTAATCTAGAGCATTATGCCCATTTAAAAATAAAGTTATGCTTAGCTACAAATAAATAATTACCTTTGACAAAATTACTGTGAGGCCTCCTTTTTTCCCACTGCTGCTTATGTGGTTTAGTAGCTTGCGGAATATCAGGCAAAATTTGGAATGAACTTCAAGAAGTTTTCGGCGTACCAACGAGAACTCCCGTAAATTGTAAATGAGTGCCTTCTCGAAATGATGCTTAAAAGCGCTCTGACATGGTATTGACAAACAGTTGACATTATTGACTCATTAACTTGGGAAATCACATTTAAAAGCGACAATAAGAGTTCAATGCATGAAAAACACCCAAATTACCAATTATTTATCTTTCCAGGCAAGGGGTGTGCGATAGACTTACCTCCACGTGGTGCACCCTGGGCAACGTATACTCATACGGCAAAAAAGTCTATTAACCGGCATTTGAATTCTGAATTCAAACTACCACGACCACCCTGGTTGTCATAGTCGACCCCTTCACAGTACTCATCTTACCTTTTTCTCTGCCATTGTGTCTGTCTGCCTCTTTAACATCTATGAATCGCTCTTCTGTTCCCCACCCCTCGACTTTCTGCTACTTTGATAAGCCTTCCCTCTGTGAAGCCCGTAGTCAATTAAAGGGCTAATGATAGCTATCAAAACGCCTGCCATTTGAAATAAATAAATGAATAAATAATCTTTAATTCACTAAATTTCCCCCAGTTTGTGTGATATCATGGTAGTTTGAAGTCAGAAGTCAACTGCCGTGCGCCACGTGGAGGTAAGTCTATCGCACACCCCGCTTATTGAAATTATTCTTTCATATGCAATTCACCCTGTTTATCGTGGACAAAAGTAGCCAAATCACACTGCATCGGACTTCCACGAGATTTTCGAACGGTATTAAAGTGCGAACTATTTCATCTTCCATCAATGTGATCACCTCTTTACCTCCAAGAATTCTATTGTCAATCATCATGAAGTGACTACAAGCAGAGGATGGTCAGTGCTAATGCCTGGTGGGTTTTAAAACACCACAACAAACTCTCAAGTATTCTCTTCGCTCGAAGAAGTCCGCCAAATACTTCCACATTATTTTCAAATGATGTTGCAAAATCGAGTTACACTAATAATAGTAAGCATCTCACTTGCCCGTTATTGAGATATTTCAAGTGCATAATTGACGATGTCATTCACGCCCTAAGTACCCCCTCCCCCTCATATGTAAAAAAATACTGACGATGTAGAATAAGGCATAGAAAGGGCGTGAGAGAACAGAATGGAAGGACGGTGTACTACGAAAAAAGTAAATAGCAATCAAACTCCAAAAAGGTTCTTAACTGAAAGACTCTTTATTCTCATACATGGGGTGCGCGATAGACGTACCTCCACGTGGTGCACCAGCTGCAGCGTATACTCATGGCAAAAAGTCAATCAACCAGCAGATGACTTCTGACTTCAAACTACCATGACCCCACTCTATGTTATATTCCACAACTTCCACAGTACTCAACTCACCATTTCTCTGCCTTTGTGTCTGTCTGTCTGTTTATCTCATTTACATCTGTGAATCACTCTACTGTTAGCCTTCTCGAATTTTTCTCACTTTGATGTTCCTTCCCCTCTGTGAAGCCCGAATTCAACTAAAGGGGCTAATGATAATTATCAAAACGCCTGCCATTTGATATAAATAAATAAATTATTCTCACACATTTGAAACTGCTTCAATCCAAAAAAAAACATTAACCAACACTAGGGCTAATTGTGCATGAAAGAATCCAATAATCATTGGGTCGTTTTGTTTTGTGGTTTGTTGAGTTGTACTTCTAACTAGCGCAATGTGAGGGTCGCTTACCGTAGCTCACAAAGAAAGAAAAAAATTATAGTCATTTGACCGTCTCAGATAGGGGGAAGAGAGCGCACAGTAGTTCGTGGTGGATTTTTCACTTGTCATTTCCCCCAAAACATTTGTCAACAGGTTCATCAGCCGCATAGAGAATAGACATGCAGGTTCCATTAAGCGACGTGTTATAACAGCGCTTCAATCTCACTCAGTATATTCACTTAAATTTCATTCACCTACCCCAATCCGAAATTCAAGCCTAGGTGCACACACGCGCACACACACATTTTGTAGTATTAGTTTAGCTTAAATGCTCCAATGATTAGCTAAAAGTTAACATAAAAAAGTAATTGCGGAAGTGGAGAACGAAGTTCAGTAGATAAAATTTCGGCCCATATCACTTAATCCTAAGTTAACAATTGTAATCTGCTGAACTGGATGTAGGAGACCTTAGCATCCTCAAACCTTTAGGGAAAAGAGAAATGCGAAGCGGCGAGATTAATCCCTCTTAATTAAACGCCTCCAGCATTTCAACAAGCGCACTTGTTGCAATGCAGGAGAGGAGTCCTGGAATTTGGATTTCGGAAAGTGAAGTGCACACAGTAAATGAACTCTACAATCAGAGTTCTAAATTCGCGAGAAGGTCGGCTCTTGGATGCTTCGTTGCTTCACCCTGAATCTTTTCGACACCTCCACCCCCACCCCCGCCCTCCTTCATCTCTATTTGGACTTACTTTTATTCTGTTTCCGTTGCCCGCCATAATTTAATATTAATATCAACAAAATAGAAGGGGAAGTAAAGAGAGCCTTTTTAGGCAACATTAGTATTTGATTGCTTTTTTTGCTCTTAATGACTTTATTAGATTCCCCACTGTTCCATTAATTTGCACTTAATAAGCATACTTGCCATGTTCGGTAACAACCACACAAACTGTTCAAGTTTAGTCGTCCATCTTCAAATTGCAAAATTTGTGGTTTTATAAACCACAAATTTAGTACTAGGTAAGAAGTGAAATCGATGTAGAAAACAAAGTGGAAAAACATGAGAGGAACTTACGCATGCTTTCCATTTCGGACTCCTCTGGCTTGCCAAAGTTGTCGAAACCCTCGGAGAAAATTTTTTGCCATCGAGCAACCTCGTCGTGTGTGGAACAGATGAATTTTGTTAGAGTGGGGTCTTTTGTCCGATCGGAGTCCATAAGGATGATAAAAGTCAATGGAGAGCCAGCCTGATCGCGGAAGTAGCCAAAGTGCTTTGTCCATATTAGGATGGGTGGCTAAAGAGAGAGAGAGGCACAAAAACCAAAAAAATAAATAAGTGGTGATAATTCTTTTTTTTAAAAAAATTGTAATCAATAAGCACATCATTTATTTATTTATTTATGATAGGTATCATTAGCCCTTTAGTTGACGTCTGGCTTCACAGAAAGCAAGAGGAACACTAAAGTGGCAAAAAGTCGAGAGGGGGGACAGAATAATGATTCACAGGCGTAAAAGAGACAGACAGACACAAAGGTAGAAAAAAGGTGAGTACTGTGGAATTAGTCGAATATGAAATGCGGTGGAGTCTTGGTAGTTTGAAGTCAGAAGTCAACTGCCCAGGGTGCACCACGTGGAGGTAAGTCTATCGCACACCCCATAAAAACATTATTATTAGTTATATCATCATCGTTGCTAAAAGACTGCACACTTGCATACAAAGATACGCATCTTCTCTTCCAATAAAGATTCAAATACACTTATTTTAATAATCTTTATAGAAAGGCTGAAAGCCCATTAAACTTCCAGACACTTATAAGCACACCTGTTCTGAAACAACAACAAAAATAATCGAGAAAAGCATTCAAATTTAACAAGAGAGAATTAATCAAAATTGTGCGAAATTTAATGCAAAATTTAAATAATAAAATATAATTAGCGCTTTTTTGAAAACCCGTCACTAACAAAACCAATAATTGAATGGCGAAGGAGACTATTGTGGAGTATGCAATCCCAACAGGATTAAACTAGGCAATCTCATGCGCAGTGCCGCGGCAGTGCGTACAGAGGACTCCTTAGGTAAGCAGCCATTAATGCACATTCAAGTTACGTAACTGTATCCGATTACTAAGCATGTTTGCTGGGAGTACGTCTGGGGTGCGCAATGGACTTACCTCCACGTGGTGCATCCTGGGCGACGTATACTTATAGGGCAAAAAAGTCGATAAACTGGCAGCTGACTTCTCACTTCAAGCTACTATGACCCGACGGCTTGTCATATTCGACCTCTTCCACAGTACTCATCTTATCTTTTCTATGTCTTTGTGTCTGTCTGTCTCTTGTACATCTGTGAATCATTGTTTTGTCCCCCCCCCTCCTCTCGAATTTTTGTCACTTTGATGTTTCTCCTTCTCTCTTTGTGAAGCCCGAAGTCAGCTAAAAGGCTAGTGATAACTATCAAAACGCCTGTCATTTGAATTAAGTAAATTTCAATACGTCTTCTTCCCCTATGTCCTTGTGGTAACTTAGCTAATTTCGGGAGCCATTCCATACAAGGGGGGTAAGTGGGGATAAGTCCGTGCTTTTTCGTGCAGTCATCCGCTACACTGCACACTCGCGTTTTCCTGAAAACTTGAAAAGCACAACAGTACCTTCCTGCAAAACGACTTAAAATACCGTTACGATTCGCCAAAAAGAACATCTTGTGAACAAGAATATGTATGCATATATTTCACATAGATTCAGAAATCAAGCGCACATTTTGTAACGGCGGTAAGCAAGGAAATGAAAGTGTGAGAAAGATAATGGGCGGTTTAATGACCAATAACAATCAACATTTCCTCTCATTTGAGCCAATAAGAATATCGCATCTTTCAGCTGATAAAACGAACTAGTATCAATGGACCGAAAGGATTGGTGAAAAAAATAATATGCTCCCTTGCATTGCGTTTGTCCATTTACTCGACGGCTTCTTTGGCACCAAGCCCATTATCTCTACTTTGACCAAGAAGTCATTATTCCCACGTCCCTTTGTTCTTAGTAGGTCTAATCATTAATCATTAGCAATGCCCGACTAATCCTAGGTAATGCATCCTCTGTTCCACTTAAAACTAATGGTTTGGCGAGCTCAACAGATCATCGCAGGAAGATGCATAAACAAGTATCAGCTTACCATGCTGGATTCTCTAAAGAGGGAGAATTTTCCCGTTTCTGGGTCCTGTCGAAGGAGAAAGAAGCAATGCTGCAGGGCAACTCCATACAGTTCTACAATGAAGAATGGCTTAGCGGTTAAACAGTGCTCTTACAATACCAAAGGCCTATAGCAGCAAATTTTCAGAGCTTTCGTGGTAAAAGGGAATCTAACTAATAGAACGAAGCTCAAGGAAGTAGGAAAACTGCGAAGGCATCAAGGTGTTTCGACGCCCCAACCCCTTTCACGATTTAAAATGGATCTAATTAGAAAAAAACAATTTTCTAGACAGGCATAACGCGTCAAGTGTTTTGCTTCATTGTAATCTATATTTTTGGTGAACCTAGACCAGTTTAAAAGTAGTCCGATATAGACCTTAGGCACCAAAGAATTTAACGCAAATCATTACCCTAATTCCCACCTCCATTATGTTGAGAAGCATTGCATTCAAATCTACGTGAGAGGAGATGCGCTTGGTGAGAGGAACGCCGATGCACCGAGTTCCACAAACTCTTCTTCCACCACAAATTTAATTTGAATAGTTGGTTATGCCATACACTGGATCTGTGCCAATTAGTACTAAGCCTTCGTTTTCGGACTTTACAGACGTATACACTGAACATGCAAACAGCACTAACGACTACGCAAATAATAGGATCATAATTGAATATTTTGGTAGTCTAAAAAGAGTTCATCATTTATATAGTGTTTTACTTGATTTACTGTTTCTATACCCATATCAGGTGGGGAAAAAATCCCATAATTCGGGGCTAGATATAGGCCTTTCCACTCTCACAATAGCAAGACCATCATTTTTAAGGGAGTTTCTGAGTTCCCTCCTTGTTTCTGAGTGAGCTGGCAGAACCAAAGTGGTTGAGGGTGATAGCATCAAAGTATAACACTAGAATGGACCATTCGTACTATGATCAATGCTTTATACTGTTTGGGGAAGCATTTGCATCACAATATTATGGGGGCCCCATTACAATACTCTCATCTGCAAAATAGGAAATAAATTTAGCAATGTGCAGGCATTAATTTAAAATTACGTCAAAAGAAAAACGTTATTGGAGTAGTAAAGCTTTAAAATCTGAAGGTAAACAACCACACTAGGATAAACGCCCCACCCTGTCAGGTGACAGGCTATTCTACTCTTGATACTTAAATTAAGAAGGAAACATCTAACATACCAATATTGCAAATTTTGCCGCCCTCTTTACGGCACTGGATGGCCAGTTTATCGTAATTGATGAGTTTGGCATCTGGTGCTTTCATCCACTGCAGGAGAGTTCGATGCTTAGGATCACCGATAGATTGCGGGTCACCCCAATCCTCCTTGAGATTGTCAGCAAAATAACGCAACTTGTCTCTGTGGACTAGATCGGTCAACTTCTGTTGAGCCCCTAGAAGCAGACTTTGTGCGGCTCTGCGTGAGATATTGAGATCATTTAATTCTGTGGAGTCGTCTTGAACTGAAACAATATAGCAAAAACGTTAGCTTAACCAAATTCAAACGGTTTGTAGGAGTATAGAAGAAGGAATTATCCCCCCTCTCCCCCCCCCCCCCCCGCCTTTATATTATTATCGTAATCCCACTTTCCACCTGCTCTATCATTGGCCCAATAAGTAAAGAAATATTTCCTTATTGACACGAACCTTGTCTATGCTGAATGAATGAACGCGCCTAGAGTGGCAGGCTTCTCCATCCCCCCCCCCCCCCACGTAGCTTTGCTGAGCCTTCACATTAATTCCTGATTATTACAATGTAATTAAGTGGTACGCCGAGTACATTAGCATTGTTCCATTATTATTTTTGCACTTTTTTGGGTACGGTAGCAATCTCTTTGTACCTTTCTGATGATAGGATGCTTAAAAATTAAGTAATAGATGCATACAGGGGAAAAAGGATAAGTACTTTTTCAACGATTCCTTGTGCCTCTCCTAACGGCGACGTCAATCACAGAAAAAATAGAAAAGTCCAAAACGACGTAATAAAAGAACGGTAAGTGATGATGCCCAAGAAATAACGATTATTCACGAAGAATAAAACAATAATTCGACAGAATACCAATTGACCTAAAATAGACAGTAAACTTAAATTACCGGCATTCCACTAACTTGGATATTAGAATAAGGTTAGAGTTTTGAACAAATTCGCTATTTTAACCTAATTTTAAATTGCCATGAGATCAAGGAGAAGCGAACGGACCCAGCCTCTCAATGTGGTAAGCGCATTTCCGCCGCTTGCTTCGAAGTCAAAGCTCCAGCCACAACCTCTCAGAACCTCATGAGAGGACGTGTGTTTAAGGACAAAGAGCCCCTAACCTAATATGACGTCATGGAGAAATTTCGCATTCATGGATAATATTGCTCAACTAACTAATTTTCATAGCGCTGTCAAACTCGCAGATTCCATACGCTTTTCGCTTCCAATTGTGTTCCAAAAGTGGCAAAAAACTGTAAGATATAAATTGTGAATGGGACTTTGCATCTTAATTCTTTTTTAAACTTAATTTTGAATAAAATAATGAGTTGACGCTCTTCGCAGGAAACAAATTGGAGAAAAGGGCTTCCGACGAAAAAGATAAAAGTCATCGAAAAAGCTTAAGCTCCAATTTTGTCTGTTCCATAAATTAGAGAGCAAAAATCAATAACGTTGGCATGGATGTCGCCTAAATCAATCCTGTTCCCACTTTGGAATGAAAAAAAAGAACTGCGGGAAAGCACTTATTTCAGGTATTCACGAAGCTAAAACGATAAAGAAATATCATTCGACATTTGTGAAGACGCTACAATAACGAGATTCGGAATAGAAGTGTCTAATAGTAAAATAAACAGAAATGAACGTAATGAAACTTCATTAAGAAAATGTGCAAATAACAGAGTCCATTGGAGGCAAATTTTCAAATACACATTTTCTGTAGATGTGAAAAGCAGCATAGGGTCGCAAAATGGGGATATCAATTTTTGGAAGATTTAAGCATTCATTTTTGAGCCACTGACCCACAAATCAACGTGCATTATAGTAATAAGTAGAGACTGCATTATTGAGACAAATAGGAGAAGTGGACATGTGGCTTTTGCATAATAATAAAATGAAGGAAAGGGCTAATGAAACATCGCGTCACTTCGCATACCCGATGCATCCGACATTGCACCAGGGTTGATCCAACCCTCCCCCCCCACTTTCAAGCCTTCAGGGTAAGATTGTGGTAGTGAGTATCACTAATTGGATTACCAATCCTCACTATTCATGTGAGGCCAACAAATAAGCAGATAGAGTCTGAGCACAAGCATTGCCCATTCTTCGATTTAACCAAAAGGGAATTATTTATAAGGGGACCGGAACGTGCAACTCTACCAATGGTGGACATCAAGGTAGCCACCACCCCACCCACCCCCCCNCCCCCCCCCCCCCCCCCCCCCCCCCCCCCACCAAACCGTACTTTAGCATTTGTACATTACTGTTTCGATTCACAGAGACTAAGGTAATTGTGACTTTGTTTATTTAGGTTTCACCAAATGTTCCGCTAAAATTCAAGAATATGTGTGATTAGATGTCGTGCATATATGCTGCAACACCTAACCACATGCATACAAATAGCATAAACGCTGTTAGAAGCGGGGGACAAAAGCGCGCCTAAATTGACTGTGCATTCACACTGTGACCGATTCGGTTGTGCAGAGGTACAGACACCTTAGCACTTTGCTTGGGACCATATTCTGGGATTGCAACAGCGTTCTGATAAACACTAGAAAAGCCATGAGCGAAAGCTGCATTCGGAAGAAGATTTCAAAGGGCTTTCAAAAAGTTATTAAATACTAAAGCGTAAGACATTAGATGGAGGGATACAAACGCCGTTGCCGATCTAGTTGCGTAAAAAGAATGAATAATCTTGCCTGTCCAATAGGAGCCTTTCTGTTTACCGTCATATCTGATACGCCAAAAAGTCCGCTGGTCAAAAAACATCAGCTTAGCAGTGATAAAAATTTAACAATAAACCGAGGTTGTATTATCAATCATAGAAATAAATCATCTGGTTGCTTTGACTTCAAGAACTTCTCCACCTCCTCTCTCCTTTTTACCCTATTGAACCCACTTTCTCCCTTTCTCTTAATTCACATGCCTACTCATGGCAGCAGATTTTTTTTGCATTACTCCGCAAGCATTGCTATGCCTTGCTTGTATCAACAGCGTTTGATGAGAAACATCGATAGGGCTCTGTTTTAAATAATCACATTCCACCAACTAAACCACTTTTTTTTGTCATACCAAATATGCGCTGAGATAATTAAACACACTAACCACATGTAGCGTCAAAAGGACAGTGGGATGAAAACTGGGTCAGAGAATGTGAAAGCCATTCATTCAATTGGTCAAAAATTTTTTCCCAGCTAAATTCCCATTCTCAGGAACTTCAAAGGGCTCTGCATTCGCGAATGCATGCACATTAATAATAATATAATAATTAAAAATTGCATAGAACTGTAAGAAGTCAAAGGACCCTTTAACAAAGCTCAAAAGCCAGATAGAAATAATTCCGTTTATCACTCTGATACAATATTTATCTTATTATCTTCCAATAATTTCCTGACGTTACCATGCTAAATCTTAATGATTAGTTATTATACAAGTATATTAACGTTTCTGCCACCGAGTTATTCATTTTCATTCGCTGTGGAACATTCTTCGCTAGTATTATGACTACTCTATGATTGAATAAAGCAAGAGAAAAGACATAGAAGACTACAGTTGAAATTTGGGGGTGTACAGCAAACTTACCTCCATGTGGTGCAACCTGGGCAACGTATACTCAAACGATAAAAAAGTCTACGATCCGGCAGTTGACTTCAAACTACCATGACCCGACTCCATGTCATATTCGACCACCTCACCTTTTTTCTGCCTTTGTGTCTGTCTATCTGTCTCTTTTACATTTGCGAATTACTCTTCTGTGCCTCTCCTCCGTGAAGCCCGAAGCCAGCAAAAGGGCTAATGTTAACTATCAAAACGCCTACCATTTGATAAAATAAATAAATACTTGACATTTACGTTTGCGAGAAGAGGTGTAAAACTATTAGGAATATAAAATGAGCTTACCAATGGTGTCTGATATGATGCCAGCGAGGAGAGTTTCAATTTTGGTCCAACGTTGGATGATGATCAAGTAGCAATCAGTTATAGTACGACGTCTGGTTCGTGGATCTCTTTCACAAGCCTACACAAACAATAACAAAAGCATCAAAGTTAGCACAGTGGAAATACACAACCCCAAAAGCCTATTTTGTATTTGAGAAGGAAATGTGAGGGGAGACGTGATCTCCCTACCCTACAACCCCTCCGCCCCGTTCGTAAATACGACTGCATGTGAAATTTACACGCCAACACAAAAAGGATTTTACTTTTGAATTTCAGTAAGCGAAAAAGGGCCCCAACCAAATATAGCACAAAATTGGGAATATATGTAATTTAAAAGTTAATTGACCGCTATGCAAGGGGCCTACACATTAAAAATAGCCAAAAAGCCAATAGATACAGGGCTGAAGATTATGCCAAATTTATAGGCAATCACGCTAATTGGAGATTATGGGAGCATGAGTCCACACAAATTGCATCTAAGCTCAAAATTAACCTAAAAGGAAATAAACGATGAAAAAATAAAGCTTATCTGCAAAGTTAACATCATTTCCCCTTCAAAAGCTGGAGGAGATTGTGAAAGGGTTGTTCGAAATCAAATTAATCATGGAAGAAATTGCAGCAAGATTGATCAAGTGGGGCATCGGATTAAGGCCATTATGCTCTCTTCTCATATATCTCTCTCAACACTCTGAAGAGTATACAGCAGGAACTGGAGATTTGAACTCAAAACTACGAGATTATTGTGGCTATAAGAGGGAGTCAACATAACAGACCAAATCATCTGATCTGATTGGATTCGCTCATCTGACTTTATCTATACTTTGCAGTAGAAAAGGTGTTGGTGTAACCAGACACTGGACTTCGGGCTCTGTCATTACAGGTGAGTGATTGTCTCAGCAACTACCATGGAGCTTACACTCAAAGAAGACTTTTACTACTGCTAACCAGCCATACCAACACCTCACAGAAGAGGCGGTACTCCAAATAAGCTGCCTGGCAGTAGGCGAAGAAGAGGACTCTTCTCGAATTATATTAACCCAATTTGGCTTTCTGAGGCGTGTCCTTCTCCGAAAGTGATGCGATTTGATGTGTTGCCTCCTCCCTCCCCCCCCCACATTACTTTCCATGGTGTCCGAGGTGGAATTGCAGACTACTGGAGCTATTAAGTCCTAAATAACAAACTAGGGTGATCAACAAAGCAACATGTATGGTATCAACAGAATTTGGTTACCTGCCACACACCAATGAAAAGTCAAAAATGTTTGTCAGTCAATTGTGGCAGCTATAGCAATCCCGGTGTTTGGTCTTAGAACTCCCCCCTTCCCGTCCCCACACACCCTCTCCTCGTCATTTGTGCCCAGATCTTAACCTGATGGACTATAATTTGTGTAGTGGACGTCGTGGAGAGAGACACTAATTTCGAGCCAGTGCTTGACAATCTAGTTACTTAACAGAGTGAGGATAGTCTTTCGACCTTTCCCTAGATAGGTGCACAATTAGTTTGCTCTGGTTACCGCTACCACGGCTGGAGCCCGACTGAAGCTTTGATAAACGTTAATAGCGATTGTTCTGAGTTAAATTCTTTCAAATTTGTGTCACTTCCTTTTCTATTAAATTTTTTGTAAATCAACTTAATTTTGCTTACTACTAGGCCTTCAGATGTACTCTCAATACATTTTCCCCATTTGCATCTTTTCTTTTCAGTAAATTATATAACCAGACGACAAATCGCTTATCATAATGTCTTAATAATCACAGGGCGAGGCGAAGTACCCTTCTCCTGAAATATTCGTGCATTTGATCAGATGAGTGAAATAAAATGGTTTTTTGGCCTTGTGGCAAGAGACTGGTTGACTTGACTTAAATGTGAACTTTGTGCGCTCAGTGGTCAAAACACGACCTCCACACACAAAGCAATAAAATGATCTAGGGCATGTTTCCTCCCCCTCGTCAGCAAAAAAAACATCGCATAAATTTGTGCCAGTAATAGCAGGATCATTTGATTCATTTGAGAGATCACTGTTCATACAAAAATACACCACACCACACCAACAGCAACAGCAACAATCTCCAATGCCAAATAGCTTGGAGATTCACAGAGCAGATAGGAAAGTGGACAAGCCAACACCTTGTGGGACATTTTGAAAGAAGGCTCTACTCAACTCCAAAGGAAGCGGCTGGGGTGAGAATGGGTAAGAGAAAATCTCAAAGCTTCCCACCCTCTCGTCTAATACACACACACACACACACACACCCACACACACACACACAAACACACACGCACACACACAAATTCAATGCAGCCAATTTTATTATAGCACAGGTGTGGACGCCTGCGAGTAATAAACTAGGCAGTGTTTGGCTACGGAGACCATCTCAACTCTTACTCAGTCTACAGTATACAATCCAGAATGTGCAAACTTGGAAACTTGCAGGAGTAAGCGACTGTCACGAAAAAACAAATAATTGATAGCATGAAAAAGGCCAACATTAAGCCTTTTTCGCTTTTAAACTGATTGTGAAAGTGTGCCAATGGTAGAAACTGTTCGTGCGAAGTTTACGGTGCGACATTTTAATTTGGAACATAAGTGAAACCTAACTATAGCTAAGAACCCGACGTGTTAATTTTATGTCAAACAAAAAAACAGATTTCACAATATCAGAATAAAGAATAATGAAAATTGAGAACATACCGCTAGCTTCTCTGCCCAGGTTCGGTTGGCTTTGAGTTTGGAAACAGAGTCTGTAAGGGAATTCTGAATGAACATCAGAACCCCGTAGGCCTCTATTAGTCGGTATGTGGTACTCTCCGTTAGCTAAAACAACAAAAGGGAAAATATATATAGTACCATTTATTCGACACTCTAAGACCCCCACAAGCCTATTTGGATCAAAGAATTATAAAAGCTCAATTAAGTGAAAACCATTGCCAGTTAACAGTCATTTACAAATAATAAAAGAATTTCGTTTTTCCTATAAACTACCAACATTCAACTATACCGTATTGGCCACAACCTGCAACAGCGATTAAAAGTGCCATACAGAGTATGGCTCATCGACTTTCCATTTCCAATCCAACCCCACCCTCCTCCCCGCCTCTCCACTCAACCCCACTTTTAAAGATAGATTAACTTGATTGAATAATTTAGAAACAAATGGCATTTGAGAATGAAAAATTAAGTTAGGCTTATGTGAGCATGGCATTAAATTGAAGTCTTTTAATGCTCAATATGAAAATGATATTCCACTAGAGAAATGGGATACTTGAACGCCAGCAGCAAAAATATTAACCTGCTCTCTTAAAGTAAAAACTCGAGTTTCGAAATAAGGATGTTCTATAGATTATTGATTCTACAGTCAGATAACATATGATTTTCTATAAAACAATAATTAATTTAAAGTTCGTTTTTTAATCGAAATAATTAAAACATCTTTTCTTGAAAAAATACACATAATACATTAACAAATGGTAAAAAATTTGGGGAAAGCGTTAGCAACACCCTTAGGGGGTAGTGAGATATCGCATCGGTGAATTTATGGCAAATTTTTATTTTAAAATTTTGCTAACGGGAAATTACTCGTGGTAACTATCACTGGTTATGCACTGGTGAGTATTAGGCGCTAACTGCAAATCATTATGCCAAACTTTTACTACACTCTCAACCACCACAAAATCAACTTGAACAAAACGCCCACGCTGTCACTTTCATGTTTATAAACCAATGAGAACACTGAAGATTCGCTACTTCGCAGAGGGCTTTGTTCAAGTCCAGATGTGCGCAGAAAGTACATCGCTCTTAATTGAACCCATTTGTTATTCCGCACCATCAGGTACAGTGAAAAGTCTCTGAGGGTCGCTTGATGAAACGGTCCAATTCCCACGCATTTCACTAAGTATGTAATTAGAGCGTCTGGTATCGGTAAATTGGGTGACAATGACAAATGTTTCCGGGGGCATTAAAATCGGACTACTTCACCTTCAACATACGCAGAAAGTGGACTTAAGCCTCGAACAGAAGTCAAAATTACCTGACTAGTTTAATCAGTAACCAATACGACCTGCTTCCCCCCACAACCAACGACTTGTATCAACAACAAACCTTTGTGCAATTTTGATCTTATGAAGATAAGAACAAAATTATCCTCCACTCTTATATGCCCTCCTTTGCCTTACTATTAGATAGAATGCATCATTACAAGAATTAGAATAATTAAGCTAGAAAAAAGCAACTGGAGTTTTCATCCAATAGACCTTCAAGCTAAACCTCCATGTAAATCTAATAACTCCAAATATACCAAACGGCGATTGTCTTAATCAGAAAGATGTATAGGAATGTTCAAACTTGACAACCGAAATCATCACATCGTGTTCTCCCTTACCGTAAAAAGATGCAACTGTCAAGACCATAATAAAATCCCATTCAGCCAGTATCTGGGACACAAATACGAGTGATCATTTTCCTTCGATCAAATTGACAAATGAAACTGTCATTGACTTATCACTGAAGGAGTTATTTAAATACACTAAGACTATACTGATATTTTGAATAATAACTATCTATAAGGCCATTTGGGAAAGTGTTTAACAACACTTACTTTGGATAGAGGGGGGGGGGGTGCGATAGACTTACCCTCCACGCGATGTAACGCATACGCATCCGGCAAAAGTTTATGAACCGCCATTTGACTTCTCACTTCAAACCACCATGACCGCATCCTATGTCATATTCCCCCACTTCCGCAGTATTCACCTCACCTTTCCCCTGCCTTTGTGTCTGTCTGTCTATCTCTCACTTTTAAATTTGTGAAACACTCTTCTGTTCCCCCTCGCAAATTTTTGTTACCTTGATGGTCCTCACCTCTGTGAAGACCGAAGTCAACTCAAGGGCTAATTACACCTATCATAAAGCCTGCCATTTAATATAAATAAATAAAAACTTTGGGTAGAAGCCGAAATGGTGAGAAATTTGAATTTCAACACCAATTCCACAAACCAAACTTCTTTATCAATGCGCTTGACAGTCACCATGGCGTCGCCGACATCTCAGACGAGCACGTTAAAAAATCTGGGCTAAGAAGTATAACAATTTTTTGTTGAACAATACTGTTGAACAAATGGAATGGACACCGTGAGGAGAGTAATCAATTTTAATTTCCATTACTAATCAATCAGTAATCAATACAACCAGAAACACAAAATTGCTACCCATATTAATAGCATTTTAAACTGCAGTTTCAGAAATAGCACAATCAGATACCACACACACACGTGAGCGTAAAAAAACGCTCATATGATACCACTGAACACTAACTACGCCATAGAAAATATATCTAAGAGGAAACCCATATATACTATAAAGACTGGATCTAGAATATATATATATATATATATATATATATATATGATAAAATAAAACCCGACCTTTTAATTCATTTCGTAATGCTATTGTCGACTTGTCTAGGCCCAATGTCCTTAAAATGAGAGGTTAATTGTGGATAGTAAAGGTAATTGGGAGTGGGTGAAAAGGACACTTAGTAGCTTGTTCACAGCAAAAAATGAGGCCATATTGGGAAAATGGAAATAGACGGCACCGAATTATAGTAGAAAATACATTAGACTGGATTGAAAATGATGCCCTCCCCGATTCCTTTGTTCAGTCAGCATCATGTTAAGGCGAATTTTACAGCAACACTGTTTCACTGGGGTGGATAGACATACGATGCTCAGAAAAGTTGACTTTATAAGTTAGGAAGTATCTATAGGATACTTGAGGCAAATTAAGAACAGGTCCCCCACTTGGAGGACATTTTAAAGCACTCTTCTTGGGTAAAGAAGCAGCGTTCTAGACCGTCTTGAAATGAGTTAATAATTTCCCAATTCACAGAGTTCATTCTTGCAGATGTGATTTGTGGGCATTAATAAGCTTTTATCAGCTGAAGACAGCTCGTGTCTACATTATGTTAGGTGGTCGAAGAAGACACAAATAGATTATACTGAATGATTGCAAAAAAAATTATTCCACAAAATGATAATTGGAGATCTAAATCATCAGGAGGGAACTAATTTCTCAGACCTCTGTGGGGTTCAGACTTCAATTGATTGGGTTAAAATCAAACTTACGTCAAACTCAGAGACAGAAGCTCTAAAATGAAGTTAAGGGCAGTGGTCTGGGAAGTTACAGGAAAATATGAAACTTCCAACTGAATTCGCGTGCGTTCGTGGAGAGGGAGAGAGAGAGAGAGAGGATAAACTGCTCATCAGATACAATGATTAACAAGGCTATTCATTGCCCATATTACGATTATTAGGGATTAAAACGGTTGAAAATTAGCATATCAGAATGGTATTCCAAATATTTATGATAACTTTTTAATGCATTTCTTCTCAATTCAACTCCATGGGCTGAAAGTGCTGTGCTTGCTTGCAGTGGATACTAACATCTAAATTTTCAAAAATACATCAAACACCATGCAATCCTGATTGACAAATAAGGTCAAACGGGGGCATAATATTAACTTTAAATTAGGTATTGTAAAACAGTTGTTAGTTTGTGGGGTTTTTATCAAGTCATTTTGCAACAAAGACAACTCCAATAAGAAATTAAATTTCATTTAGCAAGTGTACTGATAATGTTTGCGCACATTAAAACAAAAAATTTCAAGCGAAATTTGATTTAAATGGGCGCAATTAATTTACCGCAACCGCTTTGGTGTCCAGAAAAAAGGGGCATTCAAGCGAGGGACCTTTTAAATCTTAATTATTCAAAATGCCTCAGGTCAGTTTTAAACCTAAACAAGCGAAAAAATTCAATAAGAGAGAGAGACAGATAGTAGAAGTAGAAATAAGCAAGTGCCCGAATTCGTCAGTTTTATAACCCCCCTCCCCCCCACCTCCTCCCAAAAATACCTGCTTTATAATCATAAGGACTTCGAAGAGCATCGAATACATATACGTTTCGAAAAATCATTCTCCTTTAACATTTTAAAGGACGAATTAGTTTTTAAAAATGTCCTCAACTGCACTCACGCATGTCTCGTAACAGGCATGCCTATGTGATGAGTTTTGTTGGTATTAGGCGAAGGCTCTAGACGTATCAAACATGCTTTAAATGACAATAGCGCCTTCTGTTACGTGTCTAGTACCAATGGAACTTATTATGAAAGAGGGCCGTGGGGTCCTAAGGGTGCTAAAGGGTTAAACGATCAACAAAAGTGAAGATGAGCGTGACCTGCAAAGCCGTCTGAGATGGGAGCTCTATCCTGATATCAAGCTTTACCTTCATCAAAACCGTCTTGAAAAATAAGTTCTCAAGCACTCTTTGTTTGCACCGAGTCCGAATTCTTCCATTTACAATTTCCTACCATTCGAATAATGCAATACTAAAGGGCTTATGTCTACATTTCATTCTAGTACCAATGTCAATCTTGTAGACGAAAGATAACGCCCTAACAGACAACAAATACAAAAAATTCGCATTCCCACCAGGAGCAGTGCTCACATAGGTTAATATGAACGGAATGAAGGTGTCCTAGAGAAGTCCTTAAGAGAAAATCATCATCAGCATCATCATCACCACTGGAGATGTATCGATAGGAGTTGATGTCACGACTTCCGACGTAGGCTACTGCACAAGTCAGTGCACAATAATAAGGAAGAACTAAGTTTTCTTCTTTTGTCATCTTCTACCAACACCCCAAAATTCGACAACTACAATAGCATGCACTGTAATTTTGTCTCCCCAAAAAAGGCCCGTCAAAGTAATAAATGGTCTGCTAGAAGAACACTATTTAGATCTCCCAATCTTTATTTCCGTTGTTGGCTAAAGTAATGTTGCTGTCTTAAGCTTTCCGGATTGTTAATAATTTAAATTTAATTTATGTGTTTTCCACTCCATCTGGTCTTTTAAGCTTTGCGTATTGATTGATTAACACGAGAACTTCCTTGAAGCCCACTTGCCAAAAATTTTTTATTCGATCTCCACTTCACAGCTAACTTTGAAACACCTATTTAAAACCTGCGCGCATTTTTAAAAGAACCCATATAGTCTCTCATGCTAAGTCCAATAGACCAAAATTAATTAGATATTTAAGCAATAAAAACTTTTCCGATAAGTATGCTTAGGGGCTTGATTAAGACACGAATATATCATCCCATAATTTTAGGCTTTTCATGATTGCTACCCGGATAAGAGGCATGGAGAGTAGTATTACACCTTTAAAGGCTGCTTTAGAACTCACCGTTGTTGTGAAGCACTGGCCAAGATTCTTGGTGATGTGGTCTGGAGTGGCATTGTGGGCTTCCAACATGTAGTAGAGAAGGCGATTATGACATTCGAGAACATCATCCAGGTGAGGAAAGAGATTGTCACTAAGACACAAGGAGTCTCCTTTCTGTGGAGGAAAGGCCTTCATGAAGACATCACGAATCATAACCAATAAATCCACATAGCGTATCTCAGTTGATATCAACTCTACAGACGGCAAAGGAAGTAAATTGAATGTGTTAATAACAGAAAAGGGGAAAGCCGATAATGAAATCGATTATTTTATCCCTAATTGAAAACCCCAATGAAAGTTTGACTTGGAAAGTTTTTTCCTAAATAGAGACCACCCATGTTGGTCCAAAGGCTGTAGAATTATGGCCCATAGAACCTAAATGCCCCAGTTGACGGCTAATAATTATATTATTTAGATAGGAAGAATAGCACAGATATCGGATAACCATTTAGCTCGCTGCCCCTTCAATAGACCCATTTTCAACAAGAGGTGAGAGCTAAGTTCAAGCAATGTTATAGATCTGAACTCTAAACTTTGTAAGCCATGCAACTCTTCAGTGAATGTTAATTTGAATCGATAGAAGCTCTGGTCTGTTGAATGTATCTTAAGCGAGTTTTATATGTCTAGCAATAGGGAATTATTCAAAATTAAAGGAGTCTGAAGTGGAGTGACGACACCAGCTGCTGTGCTTCCAAACAGGTGTATCATCCAGATGTCGGCAATTAGATGATAGTGAATATCTTGAAAATGGGACAGTGAAACGCGATTCGAGAGGTGAATAAATGAGTACAACCGAATTAAATGGATAGGAAATTCCACTTATTCAACTAACTCATTATTAGACATAGGCAGGCGGCTAAGAGTGAGATGAAAAGTTTCCAAAATTTTAAACTCAATAGCAACAACACACTGTGTTTTCTGCAAAGTCAAGTTCAACACTAAGGTAGACAACAGTTATTAAGGTGATAAGGTCACAAAAATAGGTACGTTCGAAGGCAAAAGATTAGAAATCGTTGAAATAAGTGTTGGATGCAGTAGCTAGATTCACTCTTTAAGAGCAAATTCATTAAGTGCTTAATTCAGGAGAACACGTTTTCATTTGCTAAACAGGTGTCATAATGCCTTTGCTTACAAAAATAGTTCAAGAAAACCCATTCATCAACGAAAGTTGAAATCAACAGGGAGTTCAGAGTACATCTGAGAGCCTAGAAGTAGGCAAAATTAAGTAGACTTATAAGAAATTTAGTAAACAAGGAGGGGGGTGTGATAGACTGACCTCAACATGTTGCACCCTGGGCAACGTATACTCATAAGCCAAAAAAGTCTATAAATCGTCAGTTGACTTCTGATTTCTAACTACTATGATCCCACTGTATGTCATAGTTGACCGGTTCTACAGTACTCACCTTACATTTTCTCTGCCTTTGTGCCAGTCTGTCTGTCTCTTTTACATATTTGAAACACTCATCTGTTCCCCCCTCTCGGCTTTTTCTCACTTTGATATTCCTTCAACTCTGTGATTCCTGAAGTGAACTAAAGACCTAATGATAACTATCAAAACGCCTGCCATTTGATATAAACAAATAAGTAAATAAATAGGCAAGGAAGTGACACTAATGTGAAAGAATTTAACTCAAAACAACCACTATTAGCCTCTATCAAGGCTTCAGCCAGACTTCAGCCGTGGTAGCGGTAACCAGAGCAAACTAATTGTGCACCTTTCTTGTGAAAGGTCGAAAGACTATCCCCACTCTGTTAAGTAACTAAATTGTCAGGCACTGGCTCACAATTAGTCTCTCTCCACGACGTCCACTACACAAATTATAGTCCATCAGGTTAAGATCTGGGCACAAATGACGAGGAGAGGGTGTGTGGGGACGGGAAGGGGGGAGTTCTAAGACCAAACACCGGGATTGCTATAGCTGCCACAATTGACTGACAAACATTTTTGACTTTTCATTGGTGTGTGGCAGGTAACCAAATTCTGTTGATACCATACATGTCGCTTTGTTGATCACCCTAGTTTGTTATTTAGGACTTAATAGCTCCAGTAGTCTGCAATTCCACCTCGGACACCATGGAAAGTAATGTGGGGGGGGGAGGGAGGAGGCAACACATCAAATCGCATCACTTTCGGAGAAGGACACGCCTCAGAAAGCCAAATTGGGTTAATATAATTCGAGAAGAGTCCTCTTCTTCGCCTACTGCCAGGCAGCTTATTTGGAGTACCGCCTCTTCTGTGAGGTGTTGGTATGGCTGGTTAGCAGTAGTAAAAGTCTTCTTTGAGTGTAAGCTCCATGGTAGTTGCTGAGACAATCACTCACCTGTAATGACAGAGCCCGAAGTCCAGTGTCTGGTTACACCAACACCTTTTCTACTGCAAAGTATAGATAAAGTCAGATGAGCGAATCCAATCAGATCAGATGATTTGGTCTGTTATGTTGACTCCCTCTTATAGCCACAATAATCTCGTAGTTTTGAGTTCAAATCTCTAGTTCCTTCTGTATACTCTTCAGAGTGTTGAGAGAGATATATGAGAAGAGAGCATAATGGCCTTAATCCGATGCCCCACTTGATCAATCATGACGCAATTTCTCCTTCCATGGTTCAGTGGGCTTCCAGCAACCCATTCACGTTCAACTTCGGCTTATAAATTGAGAAAATTTGAAAATTGTAAATTACGAGCAGAGGGGTTTTAAAAGCTCAAATTTTATCTTATAGATTCCATCTTGTCCCCCCCCCCCCCGATGTATTTCTCTGCACACGTAAATCAATCGAAGACGAATGATACACGCTAAACACATCAAGGTAGGAGGATGGAGGATGAATGATGAGACCAGAGCAAGCAGTTCCAAAGATTCAGTAACACTGAGGGAGAGAGGTGTCAAGCCAAATTAAAGAAAAGGCATTTTGCCAGCCGACTTTACATGCAATTTTAGACGCGTTTAAGATCGTTATTAAAATGAACCAGCCCAGCGATGACTTACCCCAAATTTTATCATTTCGGCTGATAAAATGATTCGAATATTGCATTCGTCTGTTCTCGCCAATGAAAGCCAACCAACTGGGACAATCGACTAGATATTTGCCCTTCTCAATCAACTCTTCTGGGCTCGGAATATGATCTGAGACGGGGAGACTCTGCGGTTCGATTTGATCAACAAATACATGGTCTGCTAGTGACTGCTCCGATCCTCGATTACGTGGAGTCCCGTTCGACATTCTAAGTAAATAAAAGCGTCTAATCAAACACACAACCAAGTGGTGGTGGGAAAGGGGGAGGGGGGGGGGGGTCAATAGGTGATAGAGGAATGACACAGTTGTAGATTTAACTGGCTTATGGTAAATTATTTAGTTTCTTCCTTCGAGCATGGGGTGGATAAGCACTGCCATGCAGTTTGAAATCGAAATTACTTCAGATGAGTATGATAAGTGGTAGCAGTAGTTGACTAGGGTAAGGGAAAGTGACCTAGAGTTGCTCTATTCATATCACCAAGTAACTTTTTCCTGTTCTCTTACTTTACTGACGAGAAAATTAAACCATCGACAATGAATCTCGAACATGCATATTATTTGGCTGCAACGCAATATCAATCTTACCACTAGAGATAGAAAAAAACCCTTCTACACTATCTGCATCGATTTTTCAAATTGAATCAACTTCTGTCAAAACTACGACAGCAATACACTTCTACCTTCCGTTAAAACAAATAAACTTTTTTGTTTTTTTTTCTAATTGGAGAAAGTAAAACCACTAGGCACGATTGGCTCATATAGCTTACCCTGAAGACTTGAACTCTGGCGTTGTTTGTGATTCCTGAAAAGGAGAAAATAATATTATTCTGGGGTTTTCGCCAATTTAAAACAGCAATCACTTCTGACTTAAATAATTGAGGGACATCAATGGCGAGTGAAGCAGCAGTTTATGAGCAGGAGAGCAAGTAATAATTGTTAAAACCGATCCGAAATATTTTGTTATTTGAGGTGCCTCCAAAAAAATGACAGCTTTCATAACTTTCGAATTGACAGTAAAATGGCACGGGGTGATTAAGAGGCCCTCCCAATACAACTAAAACTGGAATGTGATTACCAAGGCACTTATTGGAGGGATCGCTCTTAGAAATCAGGTTTCAAAAAAATAATTGCTGCAACTACACCGCCTTTTACAAAATTAAAGTTCCATTAGAGCATAGGAAATGTTCCTTAGTTAAAGCTTATTAACAGGACAATTGTACAAGCTTGAGACACGACTTGTTTCAAAAGCAAGCTCTCAAATCCGTTGAAGAAAAACTTTTCACGTCTTTTATGCGAAATTAACAGTCCATTATCTCCTCTGAAAAAGATACAATTAGAAATAAAGAGAATTCGGCCATCCACTTCACTAAGAAATGTGTGCATCGAAAAGCAGCGATCTCGTGAATTCTGATTTTATTTTTTCATACAAGTCTCCCTCATTATAGGAGAAAACGTAATCAGTGCTATTGCCTACTAAGCACACCAGACATCTAACCCACTAATTTCAAATGTAAGCAGCTTCCAACACGCATTTTTACTTCTTCTGTCCTGGTTGGAAAAATACAGGTAATTTCATTGGCCTCATACGGCAAAAAGGTCTATTAACCGGCAGTTGACTT